GTTATCTGTGTTTTGCCAGACGTTTTCAAATCACAACAGGGCAGGAAGAAAGACCTTTTTATTTCTCAACATTGTGAATGTAGACTCCTCGTTCTCAGCCATGTTACTGAGGGATAAAAGTTCCTCGTTAAGCAAAATGAAAATGCTGGATCTCTGCAACATGGTATCATAATGGAATGCAGATAGAAAGCACAGAATTGTCTCTGTACCCTCTTTTATTATCCAAAGCCTGCAAAGGGAAGATGACAGTCTTCATGGTCAGCCATACAAGGTACATTCCCATTACTTACCTGTTTTCAAATATTTCCTCTTAATAGCCCAGCATGATGTTGTTGGCAACTATTTTCACTTGCCAGGGAGCCACAAGCCTGTCAGAGCTACTCAGCTTTCAGGTGAAAAAAGTATGTTGTGTTCAGGATTGGGATAACTCGTCTCATCTGTATCTTGTGGCACTGAAGACCTTGAAGTGGCTTCTTGAGTGAGGTCTCAACATCGTTGCTGATGAATTACCACTGTTCTTGGTCAGCTGGGGGATACACTTCAACATCAACAGGGTTTGTCCCTCCTCCACAGACTTCAGCTCCAAAAGGAAATTATACAGCTCTAAAATTCCATAGCTTTTGGTTTTCATTCGTGGAAGCTTGTCTGCCTGCAGTCTCCATGATTGCCTTTCCAAAGCAAGTTGCTTTCTTCTCTTTCTTAAACCATGCATGTTTCCTGTTCCTTAAATGTAGTTGTATTTAAAGCTAGCATTTTTTTGTATCTTGTTGTTAAGAAGTATGGTTTGTGGTTTTGCAGTGGAATTTAGGTTATGAATACAAAAACTGTAGTTTTATAAGGTGATTAAGTGGTTACTGCTAAACAGGTGGATAGAATTACAGGGGTATTTTTTTTCCTTTTTTTTTTTTTAAAAAAAAAAAGCAGCTCTGGGCAAGGCACTGTAGCGTGTGTGGTTGACAAGGTTTGGTTGGTTTGATGCAGTATGGCAGCATATTCTGTAGTCTACACTAGAATTTTAGTATGTTCTTGCCCCATAGATGTTCTTCTGCAAGTGCAAACAAGCTTATTAATTGTTTTATTTGGCTCCTGTCGTGTCGTTTTGTCACAAGCCAGCACTATAAAAGTCAGTGAATTGTGATTTTTGCCTAGGGCGGCAGCTTCTCTGCGCTGCTGGCAGCCAGCGCTGGTCGGGCTCTTCTTGGAGGAGCCGGCTGGAGAAACCCCTCCACAGGGGTTCCTGCAACAGCCCGTGTGCTGTCTGACAGACAGACGTGTGGAGGGACGGGTCTCCATCCAGAGTGGTACAAAACGTCATTGCAAGGAAGCAGAGACTATGAAGGTGATCAATGTAGTTATTCAGAAGTGACTGGGACTTAGTTTTCTATAATACTATGAAGACTTAAGCTAAAAGAAAAAGAAAGACTTAAAACATGAGGCATTCCAGCTGTAAAGAAGATGGTAGCTCTAAAACCATCCATCTCTTCTGTATTTGTGCAGGTAATTAAGACATATCAACCACAGCTGCAATTAACTGAAATTAATTTATTTTTTAAAAATTAACATTTTTTGCCTCAATTTTCAGTGGTAATCTCTCTTCTCACATCTCTCAAAGCCCTGAACATCCAGTCAGGTACAAAGTCCCTCCTGTTATAAGTCAAGATCAGGTGTGAAACCATGTGAGGAATCTGAGCACACATATCCATGGGACCTGCCGAGCTGCATCTATCTCAGAGTCCTGAGGGACTGGCTGATGTGGTCACCAAGTCTCTCTCTGCATCGTATGTGGAAAGTCACGGCAGTCAGGTGAAGACCCCACTGATGGGCAACAAAGAAACATCACAGCTGTTTCTGAGAAGGGTAAAAAGAGGAGGACCCCGGGAGGTACCGACCAGTCAGCCTCACCTCAATGCCCAGTAAGATCATGGAGCAGATTCTCATGGAAGACATTATGGAAGTGATTAGAGACAGCCAACATGGCTTCACCAAGGGTAAAATGTGCCTGACTAATCTGGTGGCCTTCTACAGTGCAGGGAGTGATCAGTAGACAAGGGAAGACCTACTGATGGCATCAACCTGGACTTCTGTAAGGCCTTTGATAAGATCTCCCACAACATTCTTGCCACTGAATTTGAGATACGGGTTTGTTGGAGGGACTGTGAAATGGATAAGGAGTTGGCCGGATGGCCACGCTCAATATCTAAGTGAAAATCAGTGATGAGTGGTGTCCCTCAAGTGTCTATACTGGGTCCAATGCTATTTAGTATCTTCATCAGCGAGGCAGACAGTGGGACTGAGTGACACCCAGCAAGTTTGCAGGTGACACCAAGCTGAGCGCTGCAGCTGATTCACTATCTTTTTTAAGAGAGCAGGAGCTGATTTTTGTTTTTTAGAGTGCAGGAGAAGATAGTAAAGGGAGGAGAGGGCTCAGCTGGGCATGTATTCTTAGCATCTATTAGGAGTATGTTTCCTCGGATAATGTTATGTTCATTAATGCCTCTGCCTCTAGTGAAAATACAGATTAATAGGGGCTGGTTGAATGGAAGCAAATAATGCTTAGTGTGTGTTTTATTCTATTCATCTCATTAAAAGATCAGTAAATAGCAACAGGCAGCTTGGGTCTTGTGCTCAAATTCATAGTTTGTATCAATGACATCACTATTTAAATATTAATTTAAAAGTAAGGAGCAAGAAACAGCTTTAAACATAGGGTAAACATTTTATATTCTTTCTGCAAACAAGCAGTGCAGTGTTTATTTTAAAGGTTTGTGTTTGTTGCATGCTATATGATACATAAGCTTGTTTTTCTGACATGTTCTACAAAACTCACAGAGCTCAGCATCTGAATGGGTTTTGGAAATGTTGGCATTCTCCACCAGCACGTTGATGACTGGTGAATCAGCTTTTAGGTGGATGTATTATCTATATTCAGACTTAAAGTTGGAAAATAAATTCTCCTTCATAAATTCCTTTGACTTTTTTTGCTTAGTATGCTACTTAATGTTTTTCTCTCCAAAACACAAACTGTGCAGGTGAGCTGGCTGCGGGTGCCTCTGTGGTGTGCCGTGGGGCTGAGCTGTGCCAGGAGCGGGTGTGATGGTGACAGCTGGGTCTGCTGCTGGCTGTGGCTCCGTGGTGTACACACCCCTGGTATTATCCATTCCTCCCAGTCCCTCTGCAGCCCACCAGATTTCTCTGGTCGGCAGGTTATCGTATTCATGAGGTTTTTCCTATCTGGTCTCAGGATTCAGAGGATTTAGCTTTAGAATTCTGTCTAGAAGCAGGTTGAATAAATTCCAAGTTTAGGGCATATGTCCTAAAATGCTCTGTCAAGTCTGAGTGTTGACTGTGCCGAGCTTTTCAAACGCTGAAGCTTGACAGTAAAGACGAGCCTGTGGAAGGGGTGGCCGGGGGGAAGCCGAGGAGCGTGGTCTGCATAGTTATTTTTAAGAGAACTGCAGAGGTTTCTGTTCTGCTGAGCTGCTGTTGGTAGGGCGAGAGCAGAAGAGCGCAGGCTCGGTGTGTGGGTGCTGTGGCAGCCGTGGGTGAGTGCCCCAGCAAGAGCTCTGGCTGCCCCATATTTGGAGTGTTAGGGTGTGTTTATTCCCTTTGATTAGTGACCTCTGAGAAGTGTTTGAAGTGTCCACAATTCCTTCTGTCATCTGGGAGGGGCAGTAGCTTGTGTGGCTTATGTTTACCAGGCCAGTGTGTCGTATGGAGCTCAAATCAGACTTTCAGAAGTAGCTTTTTTTTCTTGTCATCCCGTATCCAGAGTAGTTCTGGCAGCGGCCGTCGGACTTACCCCTCAGCTGGCTTCCCAGTGAAGTCAGTGCTAATTAGCCCTCTGTTTGGGGGGGCTTCTTGCAGGTAATCTCATTGTGGGGTTGGTAGAAAACACTTTGTCTTTCAGGATGAAGCTCTTTCAGGGACCATTCATGAAAACAAGGTATTTAAGCCTCACTCCATGTCATGTAAGGTGTGAGGGAACAGTTTGCGTTAGCTGTAACCCATGAGCAAAGGTGACTTTGCACACAAGGGGTGCACAAGACTACTGTGTGATACAACTACATGATTTACATTCAGGAAAGAAACCCCTTATTAGTAATTTGCACTTTAAAATTAAAGGAACGCTTCTGTGCTCTATTTGACTTGTATATAAGACTTGCTTCATCAGATCATTAAATATTGCTGTTCATCTATTTTTAAATAGCATTGAACAGTTTACTTAAACTTCAGGGGATGTAGAGTATCAGTTTGCAAAATAATACAATCGCTCTGATAGAATCCTTTTCTATCATGAACAGAAGTGAACTGTGGATGAGAACACGGCTGATGTCCCTGGATGACATAGTATTGATTTCGGAGTATCACGTTAATGGGAAATATTTCCATATGTTAATAACACAGACACTCTGTGCAGTGCTCCTATTGCCGTGCCTTCCTCCGAGCATCGTGTCCCAAAAGCCTTTTACAAAGCCTGAGGTTTGGTACCCTCAACCAAGAAATAGAACACGAGCTGAAATCGGGAAAGGTGGAATAGCACACCTCTGCTCTCAGCCAGTTGGAAATAATAACATTTTAAAGCTTTTCAAGACCAAAGTCAGAACCTAGCATAGCTTAGGGTTTGAAGTTTTGCAGTTGGAAGGGTTAGCATTTTCCAGGGCACCGCTGTTATCGATGAAATTGAATACTGACTTCATAGGCACCGATTTTGTTAGGTTGTGGCAAGATAAGGAGATACAAAAATTTTAATTGCAGGAGAAATAAAATCCACAAATGCTTAAACATGTTTTTCCTTTTGTAATAGGTGATAAATCAATATTTGCATGAATCACTGATTTAAGGAACCATTAAATTCCCACTTTAATCTTCTAGTAGTTTATTCCACTGAGGAAGAGTCAGAACAAGAGACATGATTGTGATGAAACACTGATTGTTTCAGAATTAATCCACACCCACTTTTTAACATCAAGAATGCTTTTCTTTTTATTTTGAAATTTCAGGAGCTCCAATTTCAAAGACTTACCAGAGAACTGGAAGTGGAAAGGCAAATTGTGGCTAATCAGCTAGAAAGATGTAGGCTTGGAGCAGAGTCACCAAGTATCGCCAGCACAAGGTACAGGTCCTCATGACTTTACTTTCCTATGTCCCATAAATTAAAGGGCTTTTTAGTGGTGCTTATGTCCTATAAATATATAGCTGTATATATATAACTGATAGTTATTCACCTTAATATAAGGTGATTATATAAGTAATCACAGTTAATGTAAGTATTAAAAAAAGATGCAAATTTGCTGTAAAGAGTTATAGGACAGTTTAAGAGGCCTCTCTAATCATGGCTTAGATTTTCAATATAGTGTATGTAAAGCTGTAAATGTGTTGAAATTTGTTTTTAAGATTCAGCCGAAGAGAACTACAGTAGTTATACATATTTGTATCAAAGTAACAGTGCTAGTTAAATGTAGTGATCCAATTATATTTTTTTCCTGAATTGACTATCTAGTTTCATCCAGTATTTCTGAAATACTTTCTGTTGTTACATTTGTTTTCAGGGAACATCTTGCTATAAATGTATTGTTAGCACATTTAAATAGTGTGAAACATACATAGTATATTTTGCATACAATGACAATAACTATAGCAAAGCATTTTGTTAATATTTCAGCTTTAACTAGTATTCTGCTTATTATTTTTTTTTAAATTATTATTCCTTAGCAAACTTTTAAACTCTAAATGTATTTGGGCACTCATTCCTTTCAAGCATATTAAAGATTGGTAGCTCTTGATTCTGGAAGCCTTAATGACAGTGTATTCTCTTATGAAACGTTTGTGCCTGCGTTTTGGGTTACAGCATAATTTCTTGCCTTAAATACTGCCTGCTTCTATATTCTTTCAGCAATAAACTTGGGTGTCATTCTGAAATGTTTCCTTCTGTGACCTTAATAAGTATTTCTGCAAGTTAAATGAAAAAATTTTCCTACAAAATCTTAAGAAAGAGGAGGTGATTATTTAAATATAAATTTAAAAAGTCCAGTGTACCAGCTAGCACGGCTGGTTTGTGTACATCACACTATTGAGCTGAGTTGTCATCTGACAGTATTGTCACTAGCATGAGAACTTTTGTTTAAGGATCGTTGAAGTAGTCAAAAATATTCCTTGGACAAAATGACTATTTTTATACCCTTGGTGCATGCCTGTCTTCCCTCTAGATCTATGTATTTCACCAGCTGTTGCTCAAGATTCTGTTTTGAATACTAAAGAAGTTAAATTCCTATGAAAGAATAAGTAAAAAGCCTGTTATTTTATGCCTCCAGCCACCTTTCATTCCATCTTGCATGTTCATTTCCAGTGAATTTGCCTGAGAAATACAAAGGAAAAGGTATTCCTATATCCCAGGTGCAGAGAATCTTACATACAGAGAACATCAGAGTCAGCTTATCCTGCAATTAACATTGTGTAGTTTTTTAAATCATGTACAATTACCAGTACCTGCACAGTAAGTTAGAGCTTCTATCAAATACTGTCATTTACCAAGATGGAAATCATAATTTTTAGCATCATAGAGTAATTTCTTCTTTCATTTGCTTCCTTATGTTTATTGGTATAAAAAAAGATCATGAAAGTTTAGGGGGAGAAAATACTAGTGCGTCCAGTTCTGGGCTCCCCAGTTCAAGAGAGACAGGGAACTACTGGAGAGAGTCCAGCGTAGGGCAACTAAGATGATTAAGGAATTAGAGCACCTCCCTTACGAGGAAAGGCTCAAGGAGCTGGGGCTTTTTAGCCTCAGAAGAGAAGACTGAGGGGAGACCTCATCTATGTTTACAAGTACCTAAAGGGTGGGTTGAAGGATGATGGAGCCGGACTCTCTTCGGTGGTTTCCAGCGATAGGGGATGAGGGGCAACGGGCACAAGCTGGAACATGGGAAGTTCCACTCAAATCTGAGGAAGAACTTCTTTACGGAGAGGGTTGCAGAGCCCTGGAACAGGCTGCCCAGAGAGGGCTCTCCTTCTCTGGAGATCTTCAAGACCTGCCTTGATGCAGTCCGGAGTGATGTGCTACAGGCAACCCTGCTTTGGCAGGGGAGTTGGACTGGATGATCTCTTGAGGTCCCTTCCAACTCTGTCAAATCCGTGACTCCATGAATAAGTTGGTTTGTAGTTAATTTGGTACGAGTACATAGCTGTAGATAAATCTAGATAAACTCTTCAAGCTCTTGTTTTCTGGACCATACATTTTCCGTAGTTATTAATAAAATATTTTACACATTTAAAGTAAAAGCCCAATTAGAGTCTCAGTCCTTAGGGACACTGGTGCACTCTGACCACTGTTGTGTGTTTCTGAATGTCCTTACCCCAGCGGAGCCTGTCCTGGGTAGGTGAGGATGCTGTGCTGCATCGCACGGGATGAAAACTTGGCTTGGACAGTGTGTTCTGAGGTGTGGGTCCTCAGTAAAGTTTTTTACTTCTTCTCTCATGTAGATATTCCTTTTAAGAGATATGTGAGAAGCTGGGGAAAAAGAAACTCTGTATTTGAATTAGGTGCTTTCCTTTCTTCACAAGCAGTTGCTCCCAGCGTAGTCACAGGAGTTGTTGGAAGAATGGAGGTAGGACAATCTCTCAGAGCAGTCTCACAGCAGACATGGACACAGCAGCAAAACTTACAGCCATAACAAACTACACGTGTTTCCCCAAACTCGGTGATGTAAATGTTTTGGTGAGGCTGACAGGAAATAAACAAACACGGGAGGGGGTGGAGAGTCCCCTTGGAAAGGGAATGCTGTATCGGAGAGTGGTCATGGAGAGCTGAGAGCCTGCTCCAGAAACAGGGCAGTTAGGTGTTTAGAGACAGGTGATGTTTCTCCTCGTCACCTGGAAGAATTGTCCAATAGAGCCTTATATTAAAAAAGTCAAAACCAAAACAATGACAAAAAAAGCTAGCAAAATTAAAGCATGAGATATATATGCTTTTGTGTTTACCCTTTGTTCAGTTTTCTGTCCCTGAGGAATGGGCAGTGCTTTGTTTCAAAGACACTGCTGTACTCTCCCTTAAGGAGGTGATGACGTTGGGCAGCGTTTCATCTCCCAGGTCCTGCTGGAGGTTTGCCCACCTTTGGGTGGTGGTACCAACGCCCCCATTAGCTCACTGCTGGGCTGGGTTCCTGTGAGCTGGCACGGGCCGGGAGGTGGGGACTCCTTCAGAGAGACCCTGCCGTGAAGCCATTGGCACTTTGTGGCACTGTGCGCCTGTTGTGGGGCTGCAGCCCAGGTTCAGGCTCTCCCCGTGTCCCTCGGGTCACCCCCTGAGCCAGCACAGCCCCGGGGAGTGAGGGGAAAATGCCACATCAGTACCTGAAACCAGCTTAAGCTTCTCCACAGCTTCTCAGCCACTCTCCATGGCTCTGAGCCCAACACCATCCCATCGTGGGGGACAGGGATGTACCCCTGGGTAAACCCCTCTGGGGGTGGGCAGACCATCACCTGCCTGAGGGACATGAGAAGGACTCTAATTTCCAAAGTGTGGTCCTTTCTGCTACTGCTGGTCCTCAGGAAATGCTCTGGTGCTTCGTGGAGATGGAAACAGGAGGTACTTGTAGTTCAGGTTGGTCAGTCTGGTGCCCACCTGTATTACAGCTCCAGTGTAAGTGCCAGGAAGACAGAGGAGCAGCTGGCTGTTGGGCTCCCAGGAGGAGTGGGAGCCATGAGAAGAGAGCAGAGCTGCAGATCCCAAGCAGTTGTAGTGTAATGGGTAGAGAAGGAAGAACTAGATCAGCTGCAGCCCTGGACTCCAGTAGGGCATTACCTTTGTGTGCCTGCAGGTTACTTGTCCGTTCAAATGATTTCTTCTCAGAATTAGTTCTTACAAATGGGGATTGTGCTCAGCACTTCCAAGATCTTTCATGGCATCCTGTGCACTTTCAAAACTCTTAAGAGCCTGAAATGATACATGCCAAGCGTTATGTGTAAGTAGTAAATATTTTTACCTATGTTATACGCTACAAGATGGGAGGTGATAGACTGGGAAGAGCAATGTGAGGTTTGAGCCGTGTCTTCTCCCTTCTGTTTCGTGCTGTAACACGCAGGGGTTTCTGTGCAGAAGCCACGGGCTGTCCAGCCTCCCCTGCAGAGGGGCCAGCGCTGCAGCCAGCTCTCCAGCCCTGGGGGTCCCCTTCTGCTGCCTGGCAGGGGTCAGCCCTGCTGCGGGCAGGTCCCAGTGTGTGCCCAGGGTCAGCCCTGCTGCGGGCAGGTCCCAGTGTGTGCCCAGGGTCAGGATCAGACCCCAGAAGACACATTGCCCAGCCCCTCGGGTGGGAGCTGTCTCTGACCCCGAGTCAGCTGAGTCTTCTCCCGAGTTACCTGTGGGGTGCAGCTCCTGAAAACTAGGAAAGGCTCCTAGTTTTCAATTGATTTGTTAAAGGACTGCACCCATACTAGCAGCTCGTCACAAGCACTCTAACAAAAGAACAGTCCGTAAATGGCACACTGGGCTTTGTCAGAGCTCCAGTATTTTTGTTTTGTGTTTACCCAGACCCTAAGCCTTTCTGAAATTCCATCAAAGCTTTTGAATGCCAGGAGAAGTGAGGAGTTTGGGGGTTTGTATGCAGTTTGCTGATGTTTGAGTATGGCAAAGGCAGGGATACGCTGGCGGTGCGTGGTGCCAGGTGTGGGACAGCAGGGTGGCAGCGATGTCCAGCTCTCCGTGCCCGGCTGGTCTGCCTGGCTGCCGGCGCTGGGGCATGGGGTTCAGCCTGGAATAGCCTCCTTCAGTGTGAGTGGCCACGTTTGGGTGCACTATTCCAGATACAGCTTTGGAAATTCCCCCCCGGGCGCTGGTGCCCGCTGTGCCTGTGGGAAAGGTCCAGCGAGCGGTGGGAGCGGTGGCTGTGGCTGTGCCATTTCGGGGGGGGGACACAAGGGGCTGCGGGCTTTGAGCAGTGCCTGGCAGGGCGGGCACGGGAGTTAGGCATGTTAGTGACATCAAGAAATAGCTATTAGGAAAGCCAAAGACTGAAAATTGCCTCATTTAGTTGAAATACTTGTGAAAGCTTCTGCTAACCTTTATCAACAAGAAAAGCAAAAATAGGGAATCTCATTATACTGATTTTGATGGTTGCCAGGTGCTCGTAACGAGTATTGCAAGTTTATGAAGTTTAATATATGCCATTTCGTTAGAAAAATCCCCCTCTTACCAAGGATTTACAGTTACATAAAGCTTTAAGTCTTCAGACTGCGTGTAATTGCAAACACGTTGTTAATAAAGGTATTTGAAACGGCAGGTAAAGGACACGTAGCAGAGCACCCTCAGCCCAGAGGGGCTCTCGGTGCTGCCTGGCAGCTCCGCCTGAGCCGCGGGCACCAGCCCCTGGGAATAAGCCCTTTCCTTCGGAACAGATGCATCCCGGTGCTGGGGGCTTAGCCAAGAGGAAACCAACACGCTAAAGAAATATGTGAGAAGTACATAAACTTTCAACAGAATTATATATTTAGCTTTTAACAGCTTTTCACTATTTTAGAAATATTTACTAAATATTACTTAATTTTTTTTCCACTGTTGCCTTTTTTTTGATGACAACAGCGGTACATTCAAGCAATTAAGATAGGCAATGGAAATCACTACTTTCCTCTCAAGCGGTTTAAATGTTTAAATCAGAAATACATTTCATCTCATGGAATACTTGCCAAGATAATAAGCTTAAACTCTTTCATGTCGTGTAATGCTTGCAGAAGTTGTATGTAGCACCAGGAATTTAAGTTAACTGTCCAGTCTAGAAACTGAAGATCATGGTTGTGTTTACATAATTTTTAAAAAATAGTGTATTGCTTAAGATATCTTAACAACAGTTAGAACTCTGCAATTTTCTTAAATGCCAGTATTGTTCCTTTAGCCCTGCTGTGCCCTGCAGAGGTGTGGGGTAGGAATGGTCTAGCTCCTGTGCCACCTCCGCTTAGTCGCTTCTGCAGAGGAAGCTGTGGCAGGTTGGGGACACCCTCTGTGACCTGGGCTGGGCAGTTCTGCCCAGTGACCACGTCCCCCAGACCTTCACTGCCTTGGGAATCCACCTGGACACTGTGTGTGAGAGCTGTGGCTCCGAGGATGGAGAATGGCACTAGCGATAGTACGGTTTGTCTCTGCGTGACTTCATACCAAACCTTTTCCATTTATCAGATTTATACTTTTTCCCCAGATTGGCAGCGAATTCAGTTTTGTGTCTAAGACATCAGCTTTGAACTAAAGCTGTAAAATGGCAAAGAGAGGTGTGAAATTAAGAAGGGGGAAAAAAACCCAAAATGAAACAAACCACCACCAAAAAAACCCCAACCCCAAAACAAACAAACGAAAAAACGCAGATACTTGGGAAATAGAAGTGAGAAAAGAGATGCAAAATGTCAAAAAACTCAAAGTAAATAGATTTATTTCAGCAGATTTTGTATGCATGCTCCATCTTCGGTTACCAAATATTTGTGTTACTGGCTAAAAAATTAGTGTTTCTGTGTACATATTTTGTATTCACTTAGTGTAGAGTTATGTTTTTCTTTCACTACTTCTTTGTGCTCTCGCGAAACAGATTGGGAAGGGAAAATTCTTTCCGTGTGCATGACCATATGTCTGATATTTTATCTGTGCTTTCCTGCCATGGCATTTAAGAATAGCTGCTATACTGTAATAATATTTATCTCTAACTTCTTTAATTGAAAAGTATATACATTATACCAAACTGTTCTGGAAGAAAAATACATTTTCTGCGTGTCTGCCCTACTAACCTCATTCTTTTCGAAGGATATTGGTGGGCTGATGTGAAGTATTTTTAGAGGTGCAGTGCGGCACACGTGGGCTCTCTCTGGGGGTATCACACGTGGGCTCTCTTTGGGTGTATCACACATGGGCTCTCTTTGGGTGTATCACACGTGGGCTCTCTCTAGGTGTATCACACGTGGGTGTTGGGAAGAGGCAGCGTCATCACCGTTAACGTCAGCGGCTTCTCTCTGGTAGCGCGGGGTTTCACCACACTGGTTGTGAAACGGGGGGATAGAACGGATTGGACTAACCTAGCAAAGCTGAAAGATTTGGTAACTTCAAAACATTTTGCCTGTAGGTTGACAAAATCAGATGATGAATTCAGTAGGTGGTAGGTGCTCGACCTCTGCCACCGTAATAAGGATCAAGTTATTTCCTTAACTGGTTTGATTGTTTGTGGAGTAGCTTTCCCCATACGCCCCATAGACAGAGCAGCCTCTGTGGCTCCTAAGTCCCTACAGGTGAAGGGATTCAGCTGGCCAGGGGGTGGGTGGGGGTACCTTTGGGGTTTGTGTACCCTTGGGTGTCAGAGCACAGGATCTCTGTGTGCCCAGCACTTGTTTCACAGCGAGTGCCCATCTGTGCTGGTGTGTGTGTCCTTACCCTGCCGTGGGACAGCCCCTACCTGTCCCTCTGTGGGACACTGCCGGGCACTACGGGACAGGGAATTCCCAGGATTAATGCAAAATTAAAATCAATAACCAACGGTTTAGTTGCCAGGTGTAAAGTGCTGCCAAGTGGTATTTGCACAGGCTATTGGAACTTTATCTACTGGGGGGTTGTGTACAATTTTGTATGCTTTGATTGAAAAAATAAACAATAAGTCCATAGCCAGCCATGAGGTTCTTTTTTATGATTTTTTTTTTTCTTTCTGCAGCTCTACTGAGAAGTCATTTCCGTGGAGATCATCAGGTATTATCTTCTACATGCACGTTTTGCTTTAAGCCCAACAAACTTTATTTTCTTGGCATCCATTGCTTTTTCATGTATCTTTTCTGAAGTATGACATGAACATCCTCTTTCTCAAACATGAAGAGACTTGTGTGTTCCTCTGTTACCATACAAGATTGTTTTTGCTTAGAGGTAGTTGCAGCTACTTTTCTTGCACCTTTTTGTGCCTTTGCATTTTTGTGTGAGACATGACTGTAACAAAAGTCTTGTGCATTGGGTCTCAAAAACACTCTACCTTGGCAGGTAAGGAGCATAGCAAATGTGGTATGTTTTAAGCTTGAAGACTGATTTTCTTTTTACAGATATTCTTACTACACTGAGAAAATCTCCAGTAAGCCAGGGTTTCTCTGAGAGTGCTTTTTCTGGGTTTGTATCTCAGGACAGCTTGAACTTTATTTCCAAAGCAAGAAACACTTGTCTTGTAGTCCTTCTCCATCCCCTCTTGAGCACCACAAACCGGGTCCTGCCTTCCTGCACACTGCTTTTTGTCCTGGGCTGTGCTTCTCTGACCCGCTCATCACAGAGAGCAAAACTGGTGCCATGTCATCAAAATGCCATTAGAATTTTAGGTAGCTCATTAAAAGTGTTATTAACCAAGTTCTGCATGGAGTTAATCTCCTGTCTTTATGGAAGGATGCACAGAGTGTAAGAGCTATCCAGTTTCTGCTCTACAAAGAATAGCACATCACAGTTATCTGCTTGTTCACTCAAGCGTATTTATAATTATGATTGATTGTGACTATTTTAGGTAAATAAGTCTCTCAAACTATCTACTTTCCCTTCCCCTTCCTGTTTTTTGTTTTATTTAGAGACTAAGCTCTTAAACTTGTGTATAATTGTGTTTCCATGGTTTCAGTTGCCATCAGGGTCTGGCCTCAGCTGAGGTGAGGCACACAGTACCTTTTTCCATTCTTTTAAATGTGACATTTTCAATGGCCAACTTGTCTTGGCACTTAAATTTTGCTAGTCACGGTCGTGCTTTTCAGGTATTCTTTTAGCAATGTTTTTAAAAAGAATTCAGATTTTATTTTGCAAGTAATTGAGAAATTAGTTTTACTCTTCTTTCAATGCAAAATTTACTTTTGTGGGTTTTTTTAAAACACATTATTTCCCCTGGTTCTATAATGTTCCAGTGAGAGTTCAGAACTGGTAAAGGTACCTTCTGACAGATCTCAGTCGATGTTTATCTCATCCAACTGCATTCCATTTCTTTTTCCTCCTCAGTTTTTCCTGTAGCTTATTCTTCGTCTGTTGCTTGTTTTTCTCCTGGACTTCCTATTAGTTCCTCTTTTCTTTTTTCCATCTCTCCAGCTCGTATTTTTATTTTATCCTTTCATTCTCTCCTGCCGTTTCTGTGTTTCTTTTCCTTAGAAATGCCCTGTGCACATCCCTAAGAAGTCACTTAACATATGGCAAAAAATCATATTTCTATTTAAATACTCTATGCATTAATAATACAAATCTATATGTATATGCCTCGCATCTCTATGTGTCTAAAGTAAGGCTTTTCTGGAATAACTACTCCTAAGTGAGCATCTTTGAAAAAAAAATATTTTTTGCTTAGAATTTTCTGATATACATTTCATTTAGCATTTACGTTTGTGTTGTGATTATAGCATGATTGTAGGTTTTACTCGCTCTTGAGCTTTATTGTAAAGTGTCACTGGTGATGCTTTACCAGCTGCCACCTGAAAAATACTGAAGTTAAAGATGAGTGAATACACTTCCTTAAATCACCTTTTTTTCTGACTGCAGGTAGTAGTTTATAACAAAAAACCTGAGCAGATGATGTGGTGTGACTGTAGCTGAAGTTGCCTTATGCATCAGTAGAATTATACAGAATTTTTAACAGTATAAACTAATGTTGTTTTGCAGATGCTCATAAATAGAATATTAGATCAGCAGCCATTTATAAAAAGACTATTATTTTATTCAGGGCATTCTGCTCATGATTTATAGGAGCAGAGAACGATAGAAAGACAACAATTCTCTTTATTGTGCATTCTTGCCTTTGTTGGAGAGCCCAGACAATCTGTGTTTTTTCTCCTTGGGGGGCAGTGAGAGAGGGCCCTGGGGCCGGGGCTCTGTCCTGGGGACAGCTGTCAGCGCCCCACAATTGGGCTTTATTCTACCCCTCTGCTCCTCCCAAAACTCATCATTTGTCGTCTGACATTGATTCAGTATCACGTAATATCAAGTAACTCAAATAACAGGGCCTCGTATCACTTCACAAGAAAGAGTGAAGATTAAAATATTGAGGTTGAATATAATTATAGAGTAATTTAAATGTTCCCATCCCCACAATTTTTTTATTCTAAAGAACATATAAAAACCCACTGCTGTCTGTTGTGATCTGTGATTGAGTTGGTGTAACAGGAGCTGGGAAAGCGAGTTATTTCGGTGTTGTTTTTCTGTATCACTCCTAAGGATAATGATGAGTAAGTTTATGGAAGTGTAATAACACTTCTTATTAAATTTGGTCGTAATACTCCTATTACAGTAAACTAAACAGTTTCAAATTTTACTAATAGTTTTGACCTAAGAATGTACTACTGATAAATAACTGTGCTGACTGCTTGTAATTTCTAAGATATCTTGAATTATTTTTTTTTTACTTTTTCTTTTTTTAACCTGGTATTTGAATAGTACTCTAGCATTCATCATAATAGCAATTAATGAGTAACATTTTTAGTGTGAGTGTTCCATTATGGCTACTTGTACAAGTAGTGAGACACCAGCATGTTGTGCACAGAGTGTTTCTTTACAGCCTGATGGGCACAGGTACTCAGGGGTTTTGGTTTCTCTTTTGAAGTTTACTGTAATAACAGCTGTTGTAAAGAATTTCCAATAGCTCATCTGTTTAGGGGGCGGTTTATTGGTTTGTGTTGATTTTATGGTTTGGGGTTTTTTTTTTCCATGAGCGCCACTAGATTTTATATCAGGGTCCTCTCCGTCAATTGGAGAGAGTTTTTGTTGGCCATTGCACAGAATTTGTATCAGCCCTTTTCTCTGTCTCTCTCCTAAGCAACTGGCATCAAATTTCTGCAAACTCCTAACAGTGCCGCCTTGTTCTGTGACATGCCCTTGTATTCATTTCCAGAGATCACTTAGCAGCTTCTCTCTCCCCAACTCCCACCTTCTGACGTGAAGCAGTTACAGGAGTTGTTACCAGACTGTTGCTCCTTGGCATGTTTCTCGTGGTTTCCACTCCAGGCTCATTCAAACGTTTCTTCAGCAAGAATTTACAGATCTGCTATTGCCTTTTAAAAGTAACCCTATGTTTCCTCCTGCACCCCTGGTGCCTGTTCTCCATCAATGCATAACGTGTCGGCAGTTGAATGCTTAATATTCCTGTCAAAATAGTTTTGGTTGTTTTTCTCGTTTTGTGTCCTCATCTTTGCCTTTTTTTTCCCAGACTGTGTTTAACTTCTCCCTTTTAGCATCATCCTACGTAGGAGAAAGTGAAGGAGGCATCACAACATGACCATGGTGATGTGTTGTGATGCCTCCTTCGCTTTCTCTTACGTAGCATGGTGCTATCCTGTGCTGTCTGTGAAGTTCAGCTAATATTCTTAGAACTGCAGTTAGCTCAAGAGCTGTTAAAAAAATAAACACTTGGATAGTAGTATATGAAGTAAAAAAATGTATAAAATTTGCAGTAAGTTCCATTGATGGTGCACAAACAGGGATGAAATTCTACTCAGCCTTTTACTGAGAAGCTCTTGAGATACCAGGAGCTGAAGACAGGTGGTTGCGACCCTCTGTGCACCATAAGACAGTTGCACTCTGCAAAGGAGACTCACTAGGGAATCAATTACATTCTTCATTAAAAGATGTTGGAATGTACATTTGAAGAATTGGAATTGTAGAATTACATCAAAACTACGGGAAACAAGATTCTCAGCCATTAGTATTAAACTTCTTTTCACCTGGTTTGGTAGATGATACCTGTCTACCGGTAGATGATACCTGTCTACCAGTAGACTCTCTTTATGCTGGAAGGAAGTTCTTTGTGTGTGTGAGAAAATGATTATTACTGAGTTTTCAGGAAACTTACGTATGAAACATTGAACTTATCTAACTAATTTATTCTTTCAGATCCTCCGAGCACCGGTGTAAGCAAAGCCCGAGCGTCAGAGACCGTTCACACCAATGCCTATGACATTAGGACAGAGCCAGAGCAGGGGAACCTCTACTCACCGGAACAGACGTCTCTCCATGAAAGTGAGGGTCTGTTGTGTGCATTTTAAATACTAGAATATATTTCTGCATTGACTGTATAAAATGCAATTACTAACGCAACAAATAACAAAGTTACATAATATTTTATTTTTGTGAAGTTTTCGGTGCTTTTATTCTTACGCTGGATTTGTATCTGCAGGGTCTGTAGGTAACTCCAGAAGTTCAACACAAATGAATTCTTATTCTGACAGCGGTTACCAGGAAGTAAGCAGTTTCCATAACAGCCAAAACTTGAGCAAATCAGAAAACAGACAGCATTCCCTTACTGGAACCACTAATAACCATTTGGTGAGAAGCTCACGAGCTGAAGGGCAGACATCAGTCCAGGTACGCTCGAAACAGCACGCTTTACCTCTGGCTGTACCACAGGCCTAAAAGACAGTAGTTGTGTAGCTGGACCTACCCTTGTATAGGCTGGAGTTAATGTTATTAAATCACGCTTTCCTTTAACACCTTCACCGGTTAAAAGGCAGAAATGGCCTGCAGCAGCCATTGGCTGAAATCAGCATGTGGGTGATGTGGTTCATTCAGTGCAGCTGGAATGAAGTGCAGTTCTGGGGGCTCCCGAGTGCAGAGTCTGCTGCTGAGGGCATATCAAGAAAGTGTCACTTGCTTTAGCACTCAGTTGTGATATTGGGGAAAACCTCCTCGAATTTAGCCTGTATGGAAGCGTAGTGCTTGAAGGAAGATGGTATTTGTGTTCCTGTACCTTCTACTCTTTCTGGTGCTTCTCCTCTCCTTTTTTCATTAATTGAATGATAGGAGGACAGTAATTAACAAAACTTTATTAGCTTATAGTAGAACTCTTTGCATTACTGTTCCTGAATTTGCAAGGTGGCAGAGTAGTGAGGAAAGAAAGCACAGGTGCATATTAACACAGAGACCCCAATAAGAATGAGGAATGGATGAATTTTTAATGTTAAATTGCCATTTTATATACATTAAGAAAGACTGGTTGCAAAAAGAGTTATTTTATAGGAAAACTTTAAGGAATTGCATTTAGGGTAAGAGCTACTGGAGAGGAGGAGGCTCCGGGGAGACCTAATAGCAGCCTTCCAGTACCTGAAGGGAGCCTACAGGAAGGCTGGGGAGAGCCTGTTTAGAAAGGCCTGCAGTGACAGGACGAGGACGAGGAGCAATGGTTTCAAGCTGGAGGGGAACAGATTTAGATTGGAGATGAGGAGAGGGTTCTTCACTGTGAGGGTGGTGGAGCACTGGAACAGGTTGCCCAGGGAGGTGGTTGAGGCCCCTTCCCTGGAGATATTCAAGGAGAGGCTCAATGAGGCCCTGGGCAACCTGGTCTAGTTGGGGGTGTCCCTGCTGACTGCGGGGAGGTTGGACTAGATGGCCTTTGGAGGTCCCTTCCGGCCTGGGCAATCCTATGATTCTATGATTCTATGATACTCTTCAGCTGCTTTATATATTGTTAAATTGTGTGCATTTCTTGTTGAATTCTTTGTCTTATGGGAGAAGAGTCCTAAGTGACAAAACTAATGGATGGTTTTGATTTTCAACAGCCTGTCGCTACCAATCGAGTCATGAGGCGCGTCAGCTCGGTCCCGTCCCGAGCACAGTCCCCCTCCTACGTGGTCAGCACAGGGGTTTCCCCCTCCCGGGGGTCTCTGCGGGCCTCCCTGGGCAGCGGGTACGGCTCTCCCCCGGTCTCCGAGCAGAGGCCCCTTCCTTCTCACGCCTACTCCTCCACCACGCTGCCGGCCCAGCGGGCAGCCTCCCCGTTCTCTGCCCAGCGACCTGCCTCCCCCACGGCCCTGCGGCGCGTGGGCTCCGGTGCCTCCCGGCAGACGGCAAACCCCGGCGGCGGCGGCGCTCCCCAGTACCAGGCCTCGGTCAGGGTGGGCTCCCCTCTGGCCCTCACCGACGTACAGACCAGGGTGGCTTCTCCCTCCCAAACGCAGCTGGGATCCTCTTCCCCCAAGCATTCCGGCATGACGGCGGTTCCCCAGCACTTGGGAACAACGCTGCAAAGGACGATTCACGACATGGAGCAGTACGGGCAGCAGTACGACATCTATGAGAGAATGGTGCCTCCACGGCCAGATAGCCTTACAGGTTAGTAACAAGGTAAAGACACAGCTTGAAACTTGGTACAAACCTACAGCTGTAGAAAACCCGTGATGCCGTAGTCATTTTAGGGATGAAACGTCGTAGCACTGGGTGGATGTATGAATTCAGTTGTAAATACTGGTGTCTAACACCGTGTGTCAATCGTACTGTAAGTTCACAGTCAATACTGTCTTTCTCTTTAATTAATAGATTGCTCACCATGCATTAAATTTAATTGTATGTTTTAAGTAGCTAAGTGAAATTCTGAGTCTTCCAAACAGAGGCATTTCAGCATTTTCAAAGATAAAGTACATTTAAGTGTATGTGTAGGTTACACACAAAGCAAAAAATACTGGCCCAGAACTAGTTTTAGGTCTAGTTCTTTCTTAAAATATGTAACTTAAAATATGTAACCAATATGTACTACTGAATTTCAGTCTTTTTTTTTCCCTAAACTTGCTACGCTATCTCAGTGTACTTCAGCTTAAATGTAGGGTACCCCTTGTAATAATATCTTAAAATAAAGCCCTAAAAGGTAGAGGAAAGGGACCTGGGGGTGTTGGTCGACAGCTGGCTGAACAGTGTGCCCGGGTGGCCCAGAAGGCAGCAGCATCCGGGCCTGTATCAGGAACAGAGTGGCAGGTGCTTAAAAGCCGGGCAGACGTGGTGCTGAGGGACATGGGTCAGTGGTGGTTTGGGCAGTGCTGGGTTGATCATCTGAAAGGTCCCTTCCAACCATAACAATTATGTGATTCTGTTATTCTAAATGAGACAGAGATAAAATAAAAGGAACTCGAGAGGGACAGCTGAAAGGCAAGGTGAAAAAAGAGATTCTTAAGCTTCAGCATAGCAATATATATATAAATATATATATGTACGTGCACACACCATGGGCTATTTAAACCTTTATATAGCCTTTTCTCCACATCCTTAAATCTCTGCTGCCACTACCAGGAAGACCTTTGCTCTCACTGCTACCTACTGTTCCATTTTCAAGATGCTGAGCCCACTTTAGGCTGTGCCCTATTTCACAACTGGCTTTTTGTCGGGTTCCCAACTTCCCTTGTCGTTGCCATGGCTGTGACCTGCACACGCTGACTTAGCTTTTACTCTCGCTGCTTTAGACTTTCAACTATAAGTGCTACCAAAAAATTCAAGTTGGAAAACTTGAAGTTGTCGGTTTATGGACAAAACTTTTCACCCAAGAAATGCTGTTTTGTCAATGAATCTTTCAGTGTGGATCATTTAATAATGGAAAGAAGTTTAATGACTAAATCTTCATAACTGTAGATATAACTAACGCCTTTTCTGGGTTTAAAGAGGAAAGATTCAAGCATGACAGCTTTATTTTAACTGCTGTGGGCTGTGAGCATATTTCCCCCTTCCTGGTTTCAGGCCTGAGGAGTTCCTACGCCAGCCAGCACAGTCAGCTGGGGCAAGACCTGCGCTCAGCCGTGTCTCCAGACCTGCACATCACCCCCATCTACGAGGGCAGAACGTACTACAGCCCCATCTACCGCAGCCCCAACCACGGCACCATTGAGCTGCACCAGGGCTCCCAGTCGGCGCTGTACCGAACCGGGTCCGGTGGGTGAAGGGCTCCCAAACCCCCTGCCTGTCCCAGTCGCGCTCCGGTGACTTCCTGCAGCTTTGCTGGATCCTGGGGCAGAGAGCAGAACATACGTGAGAGATGTAGTGCCAGCTGGAAAGGAAAACTAGAGGTTATAAATTAATGGAGGTAGAAATTAGATTTGAAGGACTTAGAATAACCGTCAGGAATTAAAAAGCTCTTGCGATGTTTGCCAGAAGTGCTGGGGGCTGTGTGTCAGTGTCAGCTGAGGTCAGAACGTTTGGTGTTTGATGTCACACACTCAGGTACAGCCAAGCAAAAAGGAGTTCATGACACACAAAATTTATTGCTTCCTCTTCCATTCTCTGTGCATCATCCTCTGACGAATTGAGTTTGTTCATATTTTTTTATTCATCAATGCAGTAAAATGGTAAACTGCACACGTAAATTACCCACCGCATCTTTCACAGGAAAAATACCCATTTTACCCAACTTCTCAGCAAAGGATAATGTTAAAATACTGTATCTGAGGATCGTATATAGAAATTGAAATGTTTTTGTAGTATTTCATAGAATTGCTACTCGTATATTATGAAGGGCATAGGCATTAGATTAGTGTTAGAACTGATTTTCTGTAAAGAGAAATCATTTTTATAGTGGAGTGATTTCCAAAAACTCTCATAATATTAGAGTGATTTAACTAAGTAATTCTCTAGAAATATTTATGGAGAAGTGTCTGATTCATGTGTCATGTTTTCACACATTTGAAAATTGCTTTTAATGCTTTTTAATGTAACTGAAATACTAAGAGTATGGAATGTTGAAGGAGGCGACAGTTTTTGCAGTTCTCCTACAACCTGGAGTAAACAGAATGTGTCCATGAGGAAATATAACTAGAAATTGGGATTCTCTGTTTACTTGTCTACCTAATATCACTTCCCCTGGAAGAACAGAAGCTACCTCAACAGCTCTGTTAATGCAGAACGATACATGTTCCTGATTTTGAAATGGTCAGCTTAACCTTTGAAATCACCCTAGTTTTTTATCAGGGGAAGTGTACTTGTACTGGGGAAAAGGAAAATATCTAAACTACTCATCTAAGTTTTTGCTTATTTATCTTTCCTTTTTCTTTTAAGTGCAATTGGGAAATTGATGTTACTCTTCATAATTGTATTTTATTATACATTTTAAAAACATATTGCATCCTGACTTCTGCCTAATGGCACAAGGTGCAGTTCTTACTGTGAGCACTTTTTGAGGTACGCTGAGGCATAGGTCCCTGCAGAGCTGAGTTCTGTAGCTGAACTCTGTCTTCCCTGGGACACGAGTAACTGCTCCCTTCAATCTGGCGGCAGCTTTCAGCACCGAGTGCGGTACATGTCCCTAAGACCGGTTTTTAGTTTTTATTTTTGTTTTGCTTACACTAATACATAACTACCTATTGCCTGCCCTCTTCACTAGACACTTGTTACCCAGTTTGTTCTAACGCTGATTTTGTCCAGGAGTGGGAAACCTGCAGAGATCGTCCAGCCAGCGCAGCACCCTCACGTACCAAAGAAACAGCTACGGGCTGAGCACGGCCGCGGCCTACGCCGAGCCCTACCGGCCCCTGCCCTTCCGCCTGCCCGAGCCCGGATACCGCCTCCAGCACCCGCCGCCCCCCGAGGAGGGCACCACGCGCTCCCCCTCCATCGACAGCATCCAGAAGGACCCCAGGCAAGTCCTCTGCTCCACCTGTGATTCTTAGAATCATAGAATTGCCCAGGCCGGAAGGGACCTCCAAAGGTCATCTAGTCCGACCCCCCCACAGTCAGCAGGGACACCCCCAACTAGACCAGGTTGCCCAGGGCCTCGTCGAGCCTCTCCTTGAATATCTCCAGGGAAGGGGCCTCAACCACCTCCCTGGGCAACCTGTTCCAGTGCTCCACCACCCTCACAGTGAAGAACCCTCTCCTCATCTCCAGTCTAAATCTGTTCCCCTCCAGCTTGAAGCCATTGCCCCTCGTCCTGTCACTGCAGGCCTTTCTAAACAGGCTCTCCCCAGCCTTCCTGTAGGCTCCCTTCAGGTACTGGAAGGCTGCTATTAGGTCTCCCCGGAGCCTCCTCTTCTCCAGGCTGAACAACCCCAGCTCCCTCAGCCTGTCCTCGTAGCAGAGGTGCTCCATCCCCCTGATCATCCTCGTGGCCCTCCTCTGGACCCTCTCCATCAGGTCCATGTCCTTCTTATATTGAGGGCTCCAGACCTGCACACAATACTCCAGGTGAGGTCTCACCAGAGCAGAGTAAAGTTAATTACTTAATACGTTCCTGGAATAGATACGGCACTTGGTGCTGCAGATTCCAGATCTATGTTGTTTAAACATCGTGACTAAGGTAGGTGTTAAGATCTATACCCTTATAGCCAAAGCAGGAAATGCAGTCTACTCGTTACAGCAAGAAAGAGCAGCTTTTATGCATTTAGTTACTATTGCATTTTTCTTCCATGTTTGTTTTCATGTAGAAGTTATTACAGGAAATTCTTACAAGTTTAATGAGAATTGGCTGGGTAATTCCAAATATTTGTGAGTAACTCTACGGAGCAGCCTGTAATATTGTAGTAAGTTTTCTCTTTACAGGAATGAGGATCAGTTTTGAACATTAGAACATATATACCTAATTTATTTGAATGCATTTTTTGTGAGCAGCCTGCTCAAGTTTCAGAACAACCTAAGTTTAAAGATGACCTATAAGTGTCCTATTTTGAAAGCAAATTCATATTTTTAAAATAGTCACTAGTTTGATGTTTTAAATGTATGTGCCCAGGGTGGGCATGTGACAAGTGTGCAATTCCGTAGAGACACTATTAGTTAAAACCTTGTGTTTTAAAATGGGAATATCAAAACCCAGTCCAGGCAAAGCTCGGAGGGAATTATGGTGCTGCTGCTCTGCATTGTGGTATGTGGTTGCTGGAAGTTGCAGTGCCAGTCCTTCGGGGCAGCTCCGTGTCCTGGGGGAGTGACCCCCAGGAGCACCTCGCACTGGGAGCATTCAGAAAGCTGCTGGTTTTATTAGAAAGACAGTTTTCCCTACGTTCTTCCTATCACCAGTGTGGAGAAATAAACCTGTGGGTTGTGGAGCCGTTGGATGCAGACACATAACTGTACTGTCATTGTCGGTGACTGCAGGAATCCTGGGGACCCGACTGGCCAGGCCAGCACCAGTCTGTGACTAGCTCCCCCAATACTGGCTTTGGAACATCTCCTTTTTTTTTTTTTTTTTTATTTATTTTGGTTTTTTGAGGACTCAGCCTAAGCAACTGTTTTTGTGGCATATTTTCTATATTCTCCACAAAAAAAAAATTGAACATCTCCTTTTTTTTTTTTTTTTTTAATTTACTTGGTTTTTTGAGCATGGAAAACCTTAGATACTGCTTGTGTTGGGTTTTTTCCCCCCCACCTCAATCTTCCTTTACAGAAGGGAAATAACGCAGCAAATATCAATGGGTATGTTTCTAAACCTGTGAATTGGGCATAGGTATTTATAATGAGTTTTCCAGGATTTGTCTGCAGAAAATCATTTTAATGAAGGAGATTTGATTTTAATGGTTTTAAGCTTACAATCCCTGAATAACTCAAGTTATGCAAACTTCCTACATCTGATCACGATGATGAAATTTCAGGCTGTGCAGCTTTTGTTGAAGTATAATTGACTTCAGAGTAGGAAGAACTTTGCTGAGAAAACTCGTTGTGTGGAGAGGATGGCCCTGAGCAGCATTGTTAAGTGGGTATCTGTTGTGTTATAGATGTAAGTTTTGGGAGATTTATGTAGGTTTCAGTGTTTGGGTTGGTATAATTTTAGTGTATATATATTTGTGTGACCAACAACCAAGCCATCTGGAGAACAGGGGATATAAAGCATCCTTTTCCAATTGGAAGACTAAAAGGTGACGGGACTCGTAGTTATTCCAATGTACCCGGTTTTGCCCCTAGCCCTGGTATTCCAGAACAAAACCAGAATTGTTGAAAAGCTCTTAAGACGCTGTAGTAGTTCTACTCAGTAAATAAACACCCGTTTGTAACTCATGCCTTCTCCTGGACGTGTTCACCTCCTGCAGGGAGTTTGCCTGGCGGGATCCGGAGCTGCCCGAGGTCATCCACATGCTGCAGCACCAGTTCCCCTCGGTGCAGGCCAACGCTGCTGCCTACCTCCAGCACCTCTGCTTCGGGGACAACAAGGTCAAAAACGAGGTACCAGCTCAGCGCCTTCCTCTGCCGGGGAAACCTGAAACTAAACTAGACCTCTGGCCTCTTCTGGGTTGTGTCATCACAACACTGTATTTTGGACCCTTTTGGGTTGATGTTTGTACCGAACGTACGATAATAGTGAAGTACCTAGGTGTGTGTGATTGCACTCACACAGATTTTCTGTCATAAGAGGCTGCATGGAAATCATATGAAAATATTTTGCATTCGATTTAATTGAATTAATTTGACATTCAAGTTGTGTTCCAGTAGTCTTTTGGTGTGATTTTTAGTTTAAAATTAATGTTGATCTTACAAGTTATACTACTTAGTTATCTCTTTTGAATCTTTTTAATTTAGTAAATATTACAAAATTCTAAAATGCTTGAATCTTTTATCGTTTCTCTAAGTTATTTTGAACAAAGAAAGGTACTACATGGAAATGAGATCTCAAAACACAGTGTTAAATTTTTTTAAAAATCTGTAACAAGAAGAAATGCAACTAAGCTGCTTAAAGCAGACAACATAAACATTTCTTTTTGTTTTATGAAATTTCTGCAGAGTAGTCCTTCCTTTTAAGAAGAACACCCTTCAGATATGCCCATAGGTCTGGATATAAGCTAATCTGAACTAATTTGTGTGTGTGTATGTAGCTACGTGCAACAGCTTGCATTTAAATCTTTGTAACTTTTTAATTCTAATGTTCTCTACAAAGATATTCTGAGGTGTAGCAAATTACTTTAAAAACTGCATTCCTGGGAAACAAAACTTTAGCTGTAACAGTTCTTCTCTGAATGCAACAAATGACTGAACGTCCAACAGCCTTTGCAACAAGGATAGGAGAGGTTCACAGCAATTTTCAGTACAGGGAAAAAAATCAAGTTAAGATTTACCAAAAGTATTTTTTGATGAAGCAGAACGGAATGTACTGTTTTTATAAAAGTAAAGCCTTTTAGCTCTTGGAGTGAAGTGGGTGGGATCGCTGGGTGCTGATGCTCCCGACATTCCGTGCTCTAGGTGTGCAGGCTGGGGGGAATCAAGCACCTGGTGGATCTCCTGGATCACAGAGTCCTGGAAGTTCAGAAGAACGCCTGCGGCGCCCTCAGAAACCTTGTTTACGGCAAGTCTACCGACGAAAACAAAATAGCAATGAAGAACGTTGGTGGGATACCTGCCCTGCTACGATTGTTGAGAAAGTCTGTTGATGCTGAAATCAAAGAGCTTGTCACAGGTGAGGTGAGAATAGAAACAGGCAGAGAACTGTAGTACAGATTGTTTTGCTGAAGTGGACAAGGGTGGAGTAACAGGTAAGTGCCTGGAACTGATTTGTATCAACTGGATTTGTATTTCTGCACTGGTATTTTTTGTGAACACAAAATCACTTACTTTGATTACTGACAGTTAAAGTATGAGCATAGAAGTGTAGATTCACTGGGAGAAGTGAATCTTGAGGCAGTTGCACTGAAGGTGAATTTTCCCCTGGTGTGATTCTCCTACATACACTGCCAGGTCTCGGGCAGGTATTTCTTTATTGTCTGCTAACATTTGTTTTATTCCAGGCTTTTTTTTATCATCTGCTGACAACAGTTTTAAGTAAGATCTTGCAGAATTTACAAGATGGACCCAGAGTATGTAAACGTCTGTTGAAGTACAGACAAACAATTGCAAGTATGCAAATTACAGGAGCATCTCAGTGCCCAGACTGTCAGGAAAGTGATGGCAATGGCAGGCAGCTGTGTGAGCTCCCAGCCTCTCGAGCAGGCAGCAGCTTCAGCTTGTTGTAACCCATGAACCTGCTTGAAACTGCAGAAATAATAAATGATTTGCGCTTCTGACACACAAAGGGACTTCATTTCCATCAACACGAGGTGGAATTGTTGGGCACTCTGTACATCTGCTATCTCCTTTTCTTAATATAGGGGTGATTTGTCTATGATGGTTTTAGGGGATTGAAAAATAGGAGAGGATAGGAAAAAAAAAAAAAGCAGAGTTTTCACTTTCTTTAAAGAGTTCCTCTTTCAAGTTGTAGTAGCTCCCTCGTTTGATTTTGTGAAGCTGTGAAGCTTAGCTCCCTCCCTGCCAAGGAAAGCTGCCCAAAGGGCTGGTGTCGAGGGAGCGAGGCGCCGCGCCGGGAGCCTTTCCCACTTACTGCCCCTTTGGAAAAGCTGTGAAGTGGAGAGAGGACTCTGTACAGAAGGTGTCCAAAGCCTTTGGGTTCACACACAGGCTGTTTTACTTAAGTATTTTCCACATAAGCAAGCATTAAGATAACCTGCAGCTTTCATGTTCTCTCTGGAAACATGCAATTTTTCCCTAAGACATTATGTAAATGGAATACTTACAACTGGAATTGCACATTAGCTGCCATGTCTGCTCTACAGAATTCATGTTTTATATATCTAAATTACTGGTGCTTTTAAGATGTTAGGGATGGTTCCACAGAAAAAGCCAAAGTCAAATTCTTAATTATAGAAAGTATTTAGTAGCTATTAAAAAAAAAAGAAAAAAAACTTACTTTGTAAAACTTGTATCTTGTAAAAAAGATATAGCACATCATCTGTAAGTAAAAAGATTTTTCAAATAAATATGGTCTTTAATTTGAATTCTAATTAGATTACTACTACTTCAGAAAAAGTGACACTTACTTTTTAACACACGTATTTTTAATATTGTTTTTTAACCAGCTACAACAAAATGGCAAGTTTTGGCCTAACTGTCTTCTGGTTAAGTCGGTGGCATTGAGCTCTGCTGGAGTTAGACCAGTGCTGAATGCTTGAGAAGAATCCACTGCAGACTTTGGGAGCTTAGGGATTTTTAAATGCTTTCTATAAATAGCAATATAAAGAAAAGAGGTGGAAAAGATCCAATGATTATTTGTTTAATAATTAAAGAGCTCCACCTGTGTCAGAACTAAAACTAGCAAACCACACCCAGGTTACTTTGTGTTCCCAGATTAAAATAATGTAAATACAGAGAAATTAGTATCAATCTACACTAGTAAAAACACTGAATGTCTGATATCTAGTTTAAAATTAGCACTATTCATTACTGCTGTAGTTTATTCATAATTTTGCATATAAAATTGATTTCCCAGTGTAACATTCCTTGATGAAGTACAGTGCTTCTCTCTTTCCTGAGGATGGTCTTTCCTCCTCACTAGATGGATCCGACTTCCCTCGTTAGCAGGATCCATCGCCTTTGAGCGAACACAGGAACATCTGGTGTCGTTGCAAGTGAAATTCATCCAGGTCACTTTAATGTGCAGCTAGATAGATGAAAACTTTATTATACCAGATAAGTGAAATTAGAATAACAAACTCCTTGCAATCTGGATAGATATTTTCCACATGAGAAATTATTGAGTCAAAAGCAATCTTTTAACCTCAGAAATTATTTGGGAACGTGCCCTAAAGATTAACTCTGGTGAGTTTGAAAAGCTGGCATATTGGGGGAGGATTTAATGGCACAAACATGTTTTAGGGGAGTTAGGAAGCAGTAAGAATGCTGGGGTCTATATTTAATTAACAGTAACTGAAAGGACAAGATGGAAATGCAGAGAGATAAAGAAGTGGAAACTGAATTCTATAAAAAATATAGGAAGCATAATTGCAAAACACCAAGGACGTTTTAAGAGGGAAGTCATGTTTTTAATGTCTGTAGATTATTCAGAAAGTAAAATGTGCTAAGTCACTTCTCATAATCATTATATGAAAATGAAGTAATACTTTTCTTTTTTAAGTTTTTAATAAGAAGTGTTTGGAATGCATGGGAAGAGGGTCGCTCTTCCCCGAGCTCACCCAGCAGTTTGTGTTGCCCCTGGGACAGGGCACCCTTGGAGGGGATCCCTCTCTCTCTGCTCACCATCTCCTTAGATTCCAGCCCTCCCTGGGGGCACTGGTTCTCACACCAGCACCGCTGCTGTTTCCACAGCTTCACCGTGCTCCCCCTCGGCGCTGGGCAGCAGAAACCCCGCCGAGGGTGCCCGGGAGCTGCAGGGTGGGCCCGGGTCCATGGCTCTGCTCCGCGGCCAGCACACCCAGGATCAGCCAGGGGATTTTGGGATCCCATCTCTTGGAAGGCTCACACAGCACATAATCTTCTGTGAGGTAGAAATCAGAGTGTGGAGTGTGCACGTTCCTGAACCCAGGCACAGTTTCTCCCCATCGAGTCTATTTCAGGAGACCCTCAGAAAGAGCCCCTGAGTGCTGCAAAGCAGGAGCCATCGGTGTGCTCCACCACTGCAGTGTCCAGAGAGAGCGGGTTGGATGCCTACCTTAATGGAGAACATTTCTCCATTTTCATCAGATCTTCAGCCACAGGGATGAGCCACAGGCCATGCCCTCCCACGGAAAGGCCAGGGCTGGGTTTCTGTCAGGATTCCTCCAGCAGGGTCAGGGAGGACAGTGTGGAGCCTGGGGGAGCAGCACCGTTTCACAGCTGGAAGGGAGGAAGGAAGCACAAATCCAGGCACCAGTTCAGCTGTGTGGTAAAGCTCTGTCCTTAATGGGCAAAGAGGTGCTGGTTAATGATCCTGGCAATTCTTCATAGTTCATTTCTTCAGATCAGTGCCACCCCCTCCAGCTCAGCTGAGAAGTGCTGTTCTCCATCCAGCAGCACCATCCTGGGTATGCACAGCCTCGGCTTCCTCAGCCACTGCCTCCTGCAGCGCTAACGCTGGGCATTGCAGCTCCTGTGGTTTTGGAGGAGGCACCTCGGGTTCTGCAGTTCCAGGCAGCTGAGGAGGCCTTTGAGATGGTGCAGAAATAGCTGCAAGTCCCACAGCAGTTTGCAAACTGAGCACTCTGTGATGGGTATTGTTTCTTTTCATAATTTTATTTTTACTATAATATTAGCCTAAATTCTCCTCTGCACGCAATCCCAAGTACTCGTGAGCAGTGTGTAGAACCTGCAGAGGCAGCGGATGGTCTCCCACAGCCTGCAGGCAGTCCCTGAGCAAAAAAAGGAAACAAAAAAGACCTGCTTTTCATTAGAACTGTAGAAGCTTTCTCTTAACGGCATTTTAAACTCTCCTGCAAAGCTCACTGAATTATTTTTTTTTATTTTTTTTCTCCTGGCGCTGTTATTGCTGATTTCCTTCCTCCATTGCGAATTATCCATGCCTGGTAATGCTGATACAATGCTGACATCTTTCCAACTTCAGCCTTCTCTCCTGGGGTGTTCCTCACCTCGGCGATGCCGGGCACTGACGGTGGTGTGTGACGTTCCTGCTGTACTTTGTAGTACATGCACAGACCCGGCCAGGTCCACGAGGCCGGCTGAAGCCATCGGTTGGGTTATACACAAACTGAAGCATAACGAGCGGGGGGAGCAGAAGTTCCTCTCCTTCAAACCCTGTCGTGCTGGGGATGGGAGGGATCCTGCTTCCCTCTCGGCGGGGGGGAACTAATGGCCATCCAAATAGAACTTTTCTCTTGCATAAGTTGCTCTAACAGCAAACACTGGGAGGCGGGGAGGAGGTTTAGGTGAGATCTCATTTCTGGTTTGTACCACAAAAGGCATGAAATAAGGTTTCAAAAACTGAAAGCTTTAGGCCAGTGAAGCGTTAGATCTCTCCCTGTTAGTTACCCATGAAGTACTTTTCTGTGACTCTAAGCCCTCGCTATAGAGACTTATGGCATGAAATTGGATATGGATTGGAAATAGCTTGCTTTACGTAATCAAACTGTTAAACCTGAGGAATAAGTAAACTTCAGCTTATTTTGGGTGTGTAAATGTAATACCACACCAAGTTTGGTGAAGCCATAAACAGTTTTTGAGAATCACTCAGAACTTGTATGAAAAACCCTAGACAACAACTTTAAAGAGTACTTTTTTAGAGTTAATTTTTGATTGCACAGTTTGTAGCCAGTTCTCTTTTGTTACTGGAAGTCTCACTAAACAGGAGCTGGAGTTAAAAAGTCATAAATAATACTTTTACCGTGGCTCTCGAATGGGCGTGTGATGGCATTATCAATAATCTCTGAATGCTTTGACACCTGGAGAAGGTGCCGTTGGCGTGTGCTGCTGCTGAGGAGCTGTCCTGGAGAAGTGAAGAGTGTTTGCTCACGGATGTGCCTGTTCTCCTTCTCAGCACTGAGGGAGACCCGGCTGCTGCTCCCTTGGGGTTATTCCGGTTGCCATTCCCACTCTTCCATGGGAGCCATGGCTGTGGAACACCTTACATCTAGAGTTTAGAAACATTTATTTCAGTCTGTAAAGTGAATCTTTTCATGGCAGTTTTGCTGAGCGCTTATCAGGCAATAATGCTGGAAAAATATTACAGTTACACTGCAGAATATTTCTATTTCTTTTGGTTTTGCATAGGTAAATTATCTCTCTCCCATTTAAAGTGCTGTCTCATGTTGGTACTGTTGCTTTACACTTGTTTGCCAAGACTTTTCTGCCTTCACTGCAATGGAAATCTTGTCTTAAGGGGTCCTCTGGAACTTGTCTTCGTGCGACGCGGTGAAGATGACAATCATTAGAGACGCTCTGTCGACACTAACGAACACTGTGATAGTGCCACATTCCGGATGGAACAGTTCTTCCTTTGATGATGATCATAAAATTAAATTTCAGACCTCTCTGGTTCTGCGCAATACCACAGGATGCCTCAGGTGATTTGCTGTTCCGGAAGATTCCCTTTTACACAGTAATCGTGTTATCCAACAGGTCCTTTTTATACTGTATTTTTAAGCAAAAGGCTTGTTGCATTCTATGAATTGCATATATACATTATACATACATACATACATACATACAAAGGCAGCTTTTGCATTTGGGTTCTTTTTTTTCCGTATTAGAAAAGTATGAAAAGTACAAAGTTGGTCACTAAGATGCTGCTATCCATAAAGGCTAGTGGTTAAATTTTGGGTGGTTTCTTTATAAATTACTATTATTGCACTATTACACCTATTAATTACTGTAACTTTTGTTATAGTAATAACATAACATACAGTAATAACATATGTTCATAACAGGGCTTATGAATGTTACTTAGGGGGAAAAATGTGCATTTGGTGGTTCTTTATTGTTGTATACATTTAATTATGTTTGTATGTGCATATAGATCAGCAAAGAAGTGTTTGACTAGTCCCTTTGTGGATTTCTCAAACAGTAGTAAGAAGAGAAAAATGTATTCAGAATAGTAAAAGGCAAAGCTAAAATATCTGGGAAGAGAATTCAGGGCCCAGGGGTAGTGTATGAGCTATTGCTGTTCATCTGTGGGCTTGTTTATAATTTCAATTTGTTAGATTTCTAATTGTGTTCCATTAAAGAGCAGAGTAAGGCGGCCGTGTCTGCACAGAGCTGGAGCTGCTGCTGAGCTGCTGGAACCCCTTCTAAACCTGGGGACGTTCCCTTAAACCGCCTCTCTGCTGTTGGCCATGGGTTGTGTTTGAGACGGGGAGGTTTTGGGTGCCTGGGAGGGGGGGTTGTGCCAGCAGGGCCAGGGCAGCCTGGTGCCCGAGGAGAAGCAGGTCCGTGGGGTGGTGGCTCCGTGCTGGGTGGGTGCCCGGCCACAGCGTCCCCGGCTCTGCAGCCTGGTGGCCTCGGAGGAGGACACTTGTCTGTATCTGCATCCTTCACCGCTGGATCCGAAGCACCGTGCAGCCTTCTGCAGAGTGTGTAGCAGAGCAGTTGTGTGTCTGTCTGTGAACACTGTTCCTTTACCCTTCCCCTGGCAGGAACCTGAGCTCCGCAGGGGAAGAAGCTCGGAAGCAGATGAGATCCTGCGATGGGCTGGTGGATTCCCTGCTCTACGTGATCCACACCTGCGTCAACACCTCCGATTATGACAGCAAGGTGTGTGCACCTTTCTCCTTGGGGATTTTTAGTGCCAAACTCGGGGCCTGGTAGGATCTTTTGGGGTTAGTTATGGTGTAATTTAGCACTGTGATGTGCTTAGCTCGACTGGTCTTCTCTCCCAGCCCCAGTTTGCTGACGTGCAGTCAAATTCTGCCCCATAACACAGCGTAAGGTGTTCTGTGCTTTTCATTTCCATCAGTGTTGAAGTGTTCGTTCTTTAATAAAATAATAATAAGCTCTTGTGGTTTTCATTTTCAGAATACTAAAAAATAAGCCACTATAGTAGAGATTACTGTTATAAACAATTTCATGTCTGAGGGTATCGGGAGGGAGGTTGCTGTTCTCCCAGAAAAGCAGACAAAGCAGCACCCAAGGCCCAGAATTAGGATTTAGTGCTGGTGCTCCAAGTGCCTTTTCGCCTCTACCTCGTTTGCTTGGTTTGCTTTATCACCATGTAAGAAAGTAACCAGTTACATGACGTTTTTCTGGTTTGCCTTCAGACAGTGGAAAACTGTGTGTGCACCTTGAGGAACCTTTCTTACCGCTTGGAACTGGAGGTCCCTCAGGCACGTCTGCTGGGCATCAACGAGCTGGATGACTTGCTGGGGAAAGAGTCGCCCAGCAAAGATTCGGAGCCAAGTTGCTGGGGGAAAAAAAAGAAGAAGAAAAAAAAAACTTCACAGGAGGATCAGGTTTGCCGTTTTCCTTGTATGACAAACACATCAGCTGCAGTTTAGCTGTTGGTGGGGGCAGTACGTAGCTTGAGGGAAAACTATCATGTCTTGGTCTTGAGTGAAAATGCAGAGTTTCATGTGGTTGCCAATCTGTGTTTGCTCCCCAGTGGGACGGAGTTGGCCCTATCCCTGGATTTTCCAAGTCCCCAAAAGGGGTGGAGATGCTGTGGCACCCCTCAGTTGTGAAGCCCTACCTAACGCTCCTGGCGGAAAGCTCCAACCCAGCCACCCTGGAGGGCTCCGCCGGGTCGCTCCAGAACCTCTCGGCCGGCAACTGGAAGGTGCGTCAGCTCCTACTCGCCCTCCTACCCCTGTATTTTAGCTGGGTTGTTCATAAGGTTTGGCAGGAGCAGGTAGTTTCCAGTGTGCATCTGAGCGTTCCTCTCTAGTGTGCATCACTCGTGCCGACGTGCTGCAGTAGCAGGATTTCCACTGTGCAGTGACACAGATGGTAGACAGGAAGAGCAATATGGAAATTGGCCTTGAAATTGGTACCATTTACTTTAAATAAACAGAAAAGGCTTTCTTCCAGTGCATATCAGGTCAAAATAATCTTCCATCATCTTCTACGTGACTTCTGGTGGGAAGGTACTGTCAGAATAAGAGCAGCATAAATAAATTATTTGTATTTGCTTTATTATTTATATTATTTATTTCCATACATTCTTGCCTGTGGCCCTTGTATGCAATGTGTTAAAAAGCACCAGATGAGAACACTTTATTAATGTTATGTATTTGTCATGGAGAGATCAAAAAAGAAAAGTTAATTGCTTCCTTGGCTTGCAGAAAACCAGCTAAGACTTTCTCATTTTATGACCGTTATAAAATTGATCTTAAAAAAAACAAACTGTTTTTTTTCAGTAATTTGTCATCTATTAAGATATTTTATGTATTAGACCACTTCTTTTAAACATTAATGGGTGAAAAACAACAAAGAGCCAACCCTTTATGTAACAGAAAAGCCGGGGGTTTAAGGTGGCATCTTTTCTTTGGAAGATGCCCCTGAGACGGGGGGCTGTGTCGGTGGGAGTGTGGCAGGGCTGTGAGTAAGCAGAGCTCTGCTGCAGTTCGCAGCCTACATCCGAGCCGCCGTCCGGAAGGAGAAGGGGCTGCCCATCCTGGTGGAGCTGCTGAGGATGGACAACGACCGCGTGGTCTCCTCCGTGGCCACCGCCCTGAGGAACATGGCCTTGGACGTGCGGAACAAGGAGCTCATCGGTGAGTGCTCCAGCCTGTCCCTCCCGGCACGGAAAAGGCACTGGGATGAGATTCCACCGTAGAACAGTGGTGTCATTGCTCTGACCATGTCACTCGTGCCACAGAGAGTCATCTGTTTGACAGCAGTAGCTTTTCAGAGTAATATAGACATTTTAGTTTGTCTTTAGCATCGTGCAGGGCAGTCTCTTTGCCGTGGGTGGAAGTCACCTCAGCAAAACTCGTCTGGACAGGAAACTGTCACTACAGAATCTGGTGGAAAACACAGCTCCTGCCTCGGAGCTAAATGGTAACCTTCTCCAGGGTTTTGGTGTCCCTTATGTGTCCTCAGAGGATGGGACAGCTCTGCTGCCGGCACATCAGGAAACACTTGGTTTAATAGTGTTGGGTAGGGAGAGAGGGAAGAAGTCCTCTCCAAGCAATGCATTTCCACGGAAACCCAGGTGTAGGGCAGCACAGATGTGTCTTTGCTGAATTTAGTCACCAACAAGGGTGCTTGCTAGAAAACTTACTGTTCTCCTTTGGGCAATTTTAATACTCAATGCTTTGAGCATTCGTCTGTGCCATTCTCATCTAGCATTTAAAGAACCCCAAACAAGGTATTTTCTGCCTTGATGAGGAATCTCAGTCTGTTACAGCAAGCGTTGAACCTGCCTCACCCTGGGCTCCACACCGCTGTGGCCTGAACGACCCCTGCTAGCCCAGGGCTAAAACATCTCCTCCTGTTAGAGAAGGGTTTGCTGTGCTCTGGAGTGGTGGGATAAGGACATAACAACTGCTTGTACAGATAAGAGTATCATTATTCTCAAAAAGTAAGTGCAGGTGAACAGGATTTTGTTATTTATTTCTGAGGCTTCTCTATTTTGGATGCTCAGAACTTGTTTTCTTGCAGCATAGGGGTTGCACATGTAAGAAATTAGGGAAGTCCTGTTCCGTAGCACCCACCACACACAGACTACACTCGGGTGATACTCTCTTTTCAGGACTTTTTTTTCCCCTTCCTGGCAGAACTTTCCAGTTCAGGAATTTGCCTCCACCTTCTCTGTCCCTGCCAAAGCCTTAACTATGAAAGGATTATTGGCTTTCCAGATACTTTATGCGAAGATGACTCCCAGAGTGTATTTTGAGGGGTGAAGCGTGTCATAAATTACCCCACACTACTGATCTGTTTTATGCAACGTTTCTGGTGATGGTAGGGGCAGGAGGTGGTGGGTTTACACGGTCTGAACTGCAGGAGAGAGGTGGCTGGGGAGTGCAGCAGAGAGCAGCGTGGGGGCTGCGGGCAGGGAGAGCCCAGCGCGCTCGCGGGAGGCTTCCATCGAGTTTGGAAAGTTGTTCCTTTAGTTTGCAGAATTCCTTTTTGGATTTGTTTTTTCCCTCAGGCACGTTACACAAATAGATCGCTAATGGCTTTGTATAAAGCTTATTAATTAGTCACTGCTACGTACTAATACATGTCTGCAATAAAATCAATTAATCGTTCAATTAACGGCACAGCCTAAAGAGGGAAACCGGAATGTCCTGGCTTTGGTTCATTCCCTTTGTCTGCAGGGGGATTATCCCGTGTGCCAGGCAGTACCTGAGATCTGATCCCGTGTGACTCACAAATAAGGTGCACAGATTGTCTGAAAGAAAAAAAGATTCCAGGTGCTGTCAGGGCTTCTTTAACCTCCCCATAAACAACCCCAGGAATGTGCCCCCTCCTTCAGTCATCACCAATAGCGGGACACCTTCCCGTGAGTGGTTCTGCTTCCTCCAAACAGTTCCTGTTTACAAATGCTCCTGCTTTAATGCAAAAATGCAACTTCCCACATTTTTTACGCTAAAAGGAAAAAAAAATAAATTCAAAACTAGTCTCTCTTGACCCTGTGTAAAATGTGAATTCTTGGAAGGTTTCCATGGGTTTGATCCTGTGTTTCTTACTGCTCCCAGGGGCAGGTTTGTGATGAGTCCTGTCGTTTCAAAGCTCAACTGCCAAAATGCATGTTTTTTAACTTGGTCCCATTGATGGGTTTTTCTAGGCAAATACGCGATGCGAGATCTGGTTAATCGCCTTCCGGGGAGCAACGGCTCGAGCATCCTGTCCGACGAGACGGTGGCCGCCATCTGCTGCGCTCTGCACGAGGTCACCAGCAAGAACATGGAGAACGCCAAAGCCCTGGCCGACACGGGAGGGATAGAGAAGCTGGTGAACATCACCAAGGGGCGGGGGGACAGGCAAGTGGGAGACACTGCACACCCGGGGGGTTTCTCCAGTCCGTGGAAAACGCTTAAGGATGCGGGAAGCGTTTGTGTTTGAGTCCAGCGAAGGGCAACAAAGATGATTCAAGGACTGGAGCATCTCCCTTATGAGGAGAGGCTGAGAGAGCTGGGACTCTTTAGTCTGGAGAAGAGAAGGCTGAGGGGAGACCTTATTAATGCCTACAAGTATCTCAAGGGTGGGCTGAGGGAGGAGGGAACCAGACTCTTTTCAGTAGTTGCCAGTGAGAGGACAAGGGGGAATGGGCACAAGGTGGAACATAAAGGGTTCCACTTGAATATGAGGAAGAACTTTTTCATGGTGAGGGTGACGGAGCCCTGGAACAGGGAGGGTGTGGAGTCCCCTTCTCTGGAGATCTTCAAGACCCACCTGGATGCTCCTGAGTAACGTGCTCTGACAAGCTCTGGGTGGTCCTGGGAGTTGGACTAGATGATCTCTATGGTCCCTTCCAACTCTAAAAATTCAGTGAAATTCAGTGAGTTAAGAGAGGTGCCCGTGCAGTGCCAGCTGAGCAGGTGACAAAGCCCGACGGGCGCAGGGAGAAGGGGCAGGCAGTGCCACCAGCTCTGCCTGTTCCCTGCTGCCGTCTCCAAGGCTCTTACAGTTCCATGCAGGGATGGCACCGACGGGGCCTGATCAGGTTAAATGGTCTTGAAAAAAGAATTGTCTCCTCTTGAACACCTACAGGATTAATAGAATATGTAGGGCTTTTCAAAGTCAGAACGCGTCAGCACCTTTGTCGGGAGGTATCGCAATAGCTATTGATGATCCAGCACGGCCCTTTGGTGGGCTGTGGGGAAACCTGCCCTACCCAGCAGCTTCCCAGCCAGCGGGGTCTGCTGGGGTGGGACAGAGCGCCCCGGCCCCGCAGGAACGTGGTACCGAGACCCGGGGAGGTGACCTGGCACGGGCTTCACAGCACCAGGGGTTAGGCTGTTGTAGGCAGGAACGTTGTTCTTTTCAAGTGGAGTGAAGTGGGTTTTCTAACCACGTCCTACCTGTCACTGCCGCAGGTCGTCGCTGAAGGTGGTCAAGGCAGCTGCCCAGGTGCTGAATACCCTATGGCAGTACCGAGATCTCCGCAGCATTTACAAAAAGGTAACCTGCAAAATTGGCCGACACTGGAAAACAGTTCTACTAAAACTCCTAATGTAATGAAAAGCAATTTATTTTGACTTTTTTTTTTTCTTTTTGCCCCAGGACGGGTGGAATCAAAGTCATTTTATTACACCGGTATCAACACTAGAGCGAGAGAGGTTCAAGTCACATCCTTCTTTATCGACAACAAATCAGCAGATGTCACCGGTCATACAGTCAGGTCAGTCACGAAACGGAGAGGTTCACTGACGGGCACCTGCCACCCCATGTTGTGCTGCAGGCTCACAACGTGGGAATTGTCTTCTTCTGGGATGAAGCTGGATCAGCCACTTCCAGACCGGGAATGAGCGCCGGCTGCTCGCGGGCTCTCGTTCATGGGCCAGGAAACACCCAGAGGACTCACCTGGGCTTTGCACCAACTCTCTCCCTCTCCCAGGCCCCTCACTGACGCTGTAGGTGCAGCCTCACAGAACGTGGGACTCGAGAGAAAGCAACAGACCAGTAACGGGGACTGTTTTCATTCCCAGTGGTGTCACGTCCCATTGGGATGGGCAAGGCACACACAAAAATCTTACTTTTCTGACTCCTCATTTATTTCTCACCTTTGTTCCTTTAACATTTTCAGTGCTAGGACTTAGATCTTCATGAGGGGGCTGATACAAATCCTACCCAAAGCCTTGTATATTGTCCTCATTTGGCATTTTATTTTATACAATTTACTCATCTAGTTTTACGTGAATAATCTGTTAACGCCGAGAAACGCCTGTCTGCCATGACTGGTGAAATAAGCGACCAGTTCCTACGATACTCCTGTTTAATTACTTCTCTACATAAAAGTGACGATGCTCACACATTCCTTCATGACATGGTTGACTTGAAAAGCAAGGACTCAGACAGAGGTTTGGTTTGCTCCAAGAACACACCCGTAGTGTCGCAGGGAGGGAAAGCAGCGTGTCCATGGTGCCCAGAGCTCCTTCAGCTGCCCCAGTGCGACGCACAGGACCCAGTCCTGCCTCCGGTGCTGCACAACCCTCTGTTTAAGCAAAACCTACATAAACCCATGAGCATTAGCAGGAGTATCAGCATCTAAATGCAAACAAAGCACATCATCTGCAAACAGAGGTGGATGCGGTCTCCTGTCTCGGTGTAGGTGTTAGGAGGAAGGGATGAGAACGAAGAGGAGGCCGGGGGGGGGACAGGGTGACTGATAATCTCTCTCTCCCCTCCAGTTGGCAGCACGTCCTCATCTCCAGCCCTCTTAGGAATTAGAGAACCCCGCTCTGAGTACGACAGAACGCAACCTTCTATGCAGTATTACAATAACCAAGGCGACGTCATTACACATAAAGACATTTATACTGGTAAGTTACTAGTTCGGTGGGCTTTTAACTGGAATACACAAATATTCCTTGTCGGGGGAGTTGATACGATCACAATAGGGACAGTTGCACCAGCAGCTTGTGACTACCTAACGCTGTTTCCACTTTGATTTATTGCTCTCCCTGCGTGTGGAACGGAGCAGGTTTCCCCTGTCCCTGCCGTGTTCCTTATAACTGCAGAGTCAGAGCAGGGCTGTTTAGATACTGGGGGGTAAGAGGTGTTCAGAATTTTTATTTAAAATCATATTACAGAAAATTGTTTATTATGCACATTACATTTATTATTATGTAATAAATAATAACATGCAGTTGTATATTATAATAATATAATACTAGTCTATTATTAAATTACACCAAGAATTCATCTTTTCCCTGATCTCCCTTTTCTTTCTAAGTATTTGACCCAAGTCACAAACCAACAGAGATGGCAGTGACTAAAGAGGAGGAAATTCCTTGGTTTAAAGGTTATTTGTCTGTAAAACAAAAGCCAGGGACACAAAAAAGCCTTTTGGTTTCAATGTAACTACTGCTGAGGGACAAAATTTGCCTTTATGGTGTTTTGTTATCAGTAGATGCTAAAATCTGCAGAGTTGTTTGGGTGCTGCGTAATTTCTTCTGGGTAAAATGGAAGCAAATGACTTGTCGATGGGAGAGTAAAGACTGAAGTTTACGCCATGAACTGTTTTCTCACAGGTTCCAGCAAACCTTCCCCAATTTACATCAGTTCCTACTCCTCACCAGCACGAGAACAGAACCGGCGGCTACAGGTGACTCCCCAGTTCTGTTCTGGGACACCCCCGGTACCTCCCCACGGCGGTCGCTGGGACCGGTGGCAGCTGGAGCCGACTCCGTCACATCGGTGCCGGTTTGGGAGCGTGTCCCGGCGCAGTCGGGCTCCAGGCTCCCTGTGCTCCCGCTCACGGTGCTGCTCTGCTGCCAGCACCCTGGGCTTTTCTTCCTGTGGTCACATTTGGAGCGTGTTCTTCTGACGGTGGGATCTGAGACCACTTTTCTGACCTGACTCTGGGGTTTTGGGGAGGTGTGGCCAGGTTCTGTACTTCTGCTCTCCCAGTACTGCCTTTGGAGGTCACCCCCAGGGTGCAGGAGGTGCGGGCAGGCTGAGAGCTTTTCCCATTTCGTTTCATTTACAAACGAGGTGCATTTCACAGAGGTTTGAATCCCCTGTTGCTGTCATCTTGGGTAGAGCTGCACCCTCAGTCAGGGAAAGGGTCTGTGTGATGGGTGTGAGTTTGAGAAATTAGTATTATCTCTGCTAATTCTATTTCTAAAGCTTATTTTTCTGTCATTTTGTCAACAGCATCAGCAATTGTACTACAGTCAAGAGGACACCAACAGGAAGAACTATGATGCCTACAGACTGTACCTGCAGTCCCCACACAGCTACGAAGACCCCTATTTCGACGACCGCGTTCACTTTCCTGCTACAGCAGATTACACGACCCAGTACGGACTGAAATCAACCACGAATTACGTAGACTTTTATTCCACCAGACGATCTTCTTATCGAGCAGAACAGTACCCAGGGTCACCCGACTCCTGGGTGTAGCATCAAAGAGGAGAACAACGGTGTGTTTCTCATCTTGCTTGGGAAGAAACGGAATGGCCTCGTTTGCTGTGTCGGTTGTGAAATGTGAAAGTGAAATAAAAGAAGGAACAAGGAAGATTTTATTTTTATTTTTTTTTGAGTGAGGAATTGTCAGGAAGAAAACCTGGAAGGGATGGTGTTTTGCTCTGTTTAGGTGTTAGGTATAATTACTTGTAGCTCCTGTAGTCTGGTGAGGGTGTGGGCGATGTGATGAAAGGTTTGAGAATTGAGTAAAATGCATTTGGAAAGCGTGTAGGTCAGAGCAAATTACAGCTGTTTTTTTTTTTTTTTTTCTGTGAATAAAAGTCTTGTTCTGATAGTTTGTACAGAAACAATACAATGGATGACCTTGTTTTATTGCTATTACTAAATGTCAGGATTGTACGCTATTCCGTCTTGTAAATTCCTCTGTTGGTGTAAATATGGAAATGCCACATCGGTTCAAGTGCCATCCATTTGTAACGCAGTCTGTCATTTTAAAAGGAATTTGAAACATCGTGCACAAAAACAATTCCAAGAAAATGTTATAAATTTTAAAAGAAAAAAACCCAACTTTTAAAAATGCCTATTGTAATTCTGAAGCACAAAGTCCAGTCCGGTGTCTCCCCTCTCCCATCCCCCCCCATTCCATAAGGAACTTCACTGCCATTTTCTATGCACATGGAATAACAATAAATATGGACGTCTCATCCATGGAAAGCTGCTCCCTGCTCATTTTTTTTTTCATTGTCTGTGTGTGATATTTGGAACAAATACCATGAATATGAAGTCTAATTGCAGGGATTTAAGGAGGTTAAATATATCAAAACATTTGGGCCATTTCCCAGCTTCCTTCAGTGTGGATATTCTGATTTTCCAGGCTGGCAGAGCACAGCGTGAGATGACACACCTTCCTTCTGTTGCTCCCGAGATGGGTATTTTTGCCTTTGATACGGGCAATCCAAGATATTTCTGACCTCTATCCTGTTTTCTTCCCATCCCTCCTCTGCTCCTCTCCTTGCTCTCCCCAGGAAAATTAAGATGATCTTGCTTTCATAGAAATTACAGTCTCCATATTGACTACGTTCTGCTTGGTTTTATTGACAATAAAAATCTTTGATTATTTTAAGTAACTAAATCACATACTTTCCTCCCCCCTATGGGGAGTCTGTTCCTTTTACACTGTCTGTAATCAGGATTATTGTTCCTCGTCATGGCACTTCTCTTTGGTTTTCAGTGATTCTGGGTGTCCTGATGGCAGCAGTGAAATAAGAACAGGTAAGTGGGGCTGCTCCAGGTTTACATTAAAAGGTAAATTCACTTTTCCTTCATCGGTTGGGCTGCTCCAGCCCCGACTGGGAAAGGGGCAAGGGGCGAAGGGGCAGAGAGGGCAGTAACAGCAGTGGGGGGTGGGAGAAGTCACAGGCTGCAAAGGAAACCAGGAACCAGCCACCAGGGTCTTCCTTGGCTCACAATCCCATCAGAGTGGCACTGTGAGCTCCTTTAACCAGAGATACCATTACTTTATTTAAGATTCTAAATATTTTAAATTTAGATGCATACAGCTTGCAGGGCATTCATCAGTATAAAATGCATGTATTGTCAACAAATAGGGAGTTTTCTTTTTGCTCTTATTAGGTTTTTCGGGTTATCAAATTATTTTTTTTAATATTTACTTAGCTTTCTTTAGAGCATTTTAATTAACAGTAGAGTTGATAATTACATGATAAGTAGCTGTGCTAGTGTAATCATCCTGGATGTGCTATTTTCATACAACCCAATCAGATATGCTTAAAACGTGCAACTGGAATATTCTAGAGGAATCTTGGGCTAACCCCAGAAAAGCAGTTGATTGGGTTTTGTGAAGGCGACGTAGGACAGTGAAGCCCCCCCCCAGCTGTATGGCTCCACACACCAGACTGACTCCAGACCCAGCCTGCTGAAAGCAACGGAACAGCGTCACCGCAGCGTCACGCGCTGGGCGCAGGGACCAGCCGCCGCGGCGCTGGATTCAGCTGGCACCTCCTCACGGGGCTGGTGTCCCCACAAACCCGGGGCAAGCTGCAGTAGAGTATCTGGAGTGGATTATTGCTCAGAGTAAACGTTCACTGTCCAAAGGCTGCTCTCAATGTTGAGAAGAAAAGACGGAGCTGCCACTGAGACTTTAATTTGACTCTGCCAGGAGCGCGAGGTCATTTCTGGCAGCGCGTTAGAACGGGGGGTGCCAAACCAGAGACAAAACCCACGGCACCGCGTCCCAGAGGCTTTCTGTCAGCCCTTTCAGAAGCTGGAGCAGGCACGGCAGGTGAAAAGCAACAGCCTGCGTTTTTCCAAGGAAAGAAGCCAGAGCTTTAAGTCTTGGGAAGGTAAACCTGGTCTTCAGGAGGGCTGAAACACAGGAGACAGCCACACCGTACGTTTCCCTCAGCCTTGCCTGTGGTCGAGGAGGGTGTTTGATGGGAAAGGATTCATTACAGGTTTCTAAGTTTGGCATATGTTTAATTAGTTTACTCAAAAAGTAACTTAATGCTTTGTCAGATTTTAGCATCATTTCATTTTACCCCCTCTTACAGAACACTTACATTCTCTGTATAACTTTCTGGTGAAAAGATTAAAAAACAACTGGGAAAGTATATTTTTTTCATTCTTCCATGGCTTAGAGCACGGGGAATGTTCCCATTTCCCATGCCATGACTCACATCTGGACTGAGCCCAAACGCAGAGTTCCACATGGATGCATCACTTTCTAAAAACCCTGTGGCCACAGGCCATAAGAGATGTGCACCATACGCACCAACCCAACCAGAATGCAACACCTGCTCTGCAAAAAGCACTGCCCGATGCCAACCACCCTCATACCTGACAGCGAGGTGCTGCCTCCTGCTCTGCATTGACCTCCTGCTCCTGCACTATGCTCCATTCTAATGCAACATCTGCAATAGAGTTTATTGGAGAAAATAAGCCTCATGTGCTGTTGATGTCAAGCTCTAATATCAATTGTTTTGCTATTAAAATGAAGGTTAGGAAAGGTATATTCACAATAACATGCCATCTATCCTGCACATACAAACATCAGGTAGACAAAAGGGACTGTATTTCCAGGTATCCCTCTAGAACAGAGAGCAGCAGGCTCTGCTGCTGAACCAAATTGATATAAAGCTACATTTAAATAAGTGAAGTAAAGAAACAAAGGCTATGAAAGAAGTTCCTGTGTGTTACATACTCTGTTTCATGCATTACTGAAGACAAACTGGGAGAAGGCCAGCGTAACACATGGATGCTCTGCCTGTCACCACCACCATACAGACTACCTGAAATGTCTAGGGCAGAGCCCACCATTCACACGAGCTGGTCACTGCCCCAGGGTGGGCTTGGGACTGGGATCCATCAGGGTGTAACTGGAAGCCTTATGAAGACTGATGAGAACCCACCACTCACCAGCAGCAGTGTCACCCCAGAAACCAACCGGCACACACTCAGCTCCATCAGTGGAACTATTAGGAGGAGGGTTAAGCCTACGCACGAAATTAGTGATTCAAAGGATGATGATGATGATCTGTGCTAAAGTGCTTTGCCATTGAGCATGCTCTGACTCTGCAGCGACATGCCAGCTCCTGCAAGGAAACGATCCAGACAACAGTATCCCTGGTCTGTGGAAACTAGTACGTTTAAAAAATAAAGTGAAGTTGAAAAAGAAACTTCAAGAATTAATCCCAACCGTAGGCAAGGGGGGGGTGTGAGGACAAGAAAATGTATCAGAGCAGGAATACTTTATGGAGTTTTCAAAAGAGACTGCAACAGCTTCTTCAGTGACACCATCACATGTACCTGCCAAATGTGGGCACTTGTACATAACATTAAGGTTTTGGTTCTTTTTATATGTTCAAAGCATTTCTCTGTTCAAACTGCACAACTCCCACACTTTATTTAAAGAGGGGAGCACTCCCAGGGGGCGAGGGCAGAGCGGGTGATACAGACAGAGGACGTTCAGGTGTCGCTCACAGCCCTGTCGAACACCGGCCAGGAACAGGCCGTGCTCACTGGGAAGGCATGCGATTGCATGGTGAAAATAGAAAGTTCCTGCCTCTGTAGTTCATCTAGGGAATAGAAGTGGTTGTAAAAGGCTGTGCCGGGTGTGTCAGCGCTAACGGCAGCCGGGTCACAGCCCTGTCTGCCCACCCGCCTGCGGCACTGCCTGCACTGCCCTGCCACGGGGACAAACACAGCTCAGCTCCCCTCTGCCAGCCAGCAGAGACCCACACTGCTGCACAAAGAGCAGGCGTTCCCCTGGGGAGGCTGCAGCAGCACCGTGGCCGTGGACACAGCCAGGGCTGGGTCGGGCTGTGAGGGGTCACCAGCCTCAGCCGAGAACTGACCGCCCCGAGTCCTAGCCCAGAGCCAAAACCACAGCCACCACTCCTCCCCGCTACTGCAGGGCACCCTACTCATTAGAAAATATCTTTATGCATACCATTTCTTATACCAAGTATCACCTCGTAGTCTGTTCTGCTTTATATGAGTTATGTGTAAAACAATAACACAAGCAGCAGGGTATTCAATGGGGTAATTTCCAGCTACTTCTTAAAGTCATACGTGGGTTCATTTTTCTTGACTGTGAAGAGTGTGAAATGAATTATCTCCCATCGATCGACACAAAGCAATCACACACTACGAGAAGAGATGGATCTCCATTAGGACTAAACACAAAATATCTCCAGCTCATTACCAAAGGCTTAAAATCAAGTCACTGCATTGTAATGCAGGTCACTTGACTATGGCCTGAAATTATTTAAATAGTTAAGCCAAGCCAGAATCTGCCAGTGCCTCTCCAGAATGGCCAGAGGGACACAGGAAACTGAGACAACCATAGCCCATGAAATGCTGAATTACAACTGTTGGCTGTCTCCCCTCTGCCAAAAAATCAATCCTTGTAGATGAGTGCTTAATAAGGGAGCAAAGCATACGTTCCTTCAGTTTGGCTGTAAATTTTCCAGCACTCCTATTGATCCACATCCCCTTTACAGCTGTCACTCACCCACTATGCTGTTTTAGGAGAGGATTTAACTAATTTCAAACATTGCACACAATTATAAGCCCATACAATGTGTCCTGCTTTGGGGTGGAGCAGAGACAACTTTGAGGTCAACAGTTTAATTTCTTGGCTAAGCCTCTTCTAACCCCCTGCAGCTGGCAGACTGCTCACCCCGTGCTGTGACAATCAGGGTCAGCTGAAGCGGTTGTTTGCCCCAGAGGGGTGGCAGCTGTGGGGAGGAGGGGACAGGGCAGGTGACCCAAACTGACCAACGGGGTGTTCCCTCCCATCCATGCTCAGTATAAAAGCTGAGGGAGCAAAGAATTAGGACTCCTTCAGTGGCTGATGCCTGAGGGGGGCTCTTGTCAGTTTGTCTCCCTCATTGCTGAGTCCAGCCTGGGACTTCTACAGTGCCCACTGGTGACATCTTCTTGGGAATTTGGTATGGTTTTGTATGTATCGTATCTACTTTGTTGTTTCCTTTTTATTTTATATAATTATATATTAATTATATATAAAATATATGTATATATTATATTAATATAATTATATTAATATTTTAATTAAAGTAGTTTAGTTTCTTCTAAACTCATAAATCTCTTTATCTCTCTCCTTTCTCTCCTTGGAGCAAGAGGTGGGAGAGAGCATCTGTTGTGTTGTCATTGGCCAGTCTGGCCCAAACGTGACACAGTGAAACAGGGGTAAGGCCATTCATCAGTTGTCAAAGGGGCATTTAGTTTGAATTTGTCTAGCTTGCTGATATTCATAGGTTGCTTTGGGTTAGATGAGACCTTACAGACCACCCAGTCTCACCCCCTGCCCTGGGCAGGGGCATCTCCCTCTAGACATCTCCCTCAAAGCCCCATCCAGCCTGGCCTTGAACACCTTGAAATATTATTAAATATTCAAGCATTAGAAAAAAAAATCTTTAAAATTGTATAGGTATGTTGAGCCCTGCTCATGCCTGACACGCTAAGGAAATTCTGTAGTTTGGCTGTAAATTTTCCAGCACTCCTATTGATCCACATCCCCTTTACAGCTGTCACTCACCCACTATGCTGTTTTAGGAGAGGATTTAACTAATTTCAAACATTGCACACAATTATAAGCCCATACAATGTGTCCTGCTTTGGGGTGGAGCAGAGACAACTTTGAGGTCAACAGTTTAATTTCTTGGCTAAGCCTCTTCTAACCCCCTGCAGCTGGCAGACTGCTCACCCCGTGCTGTGACAATCAGGGTCAGCTGAAGCGGTTGTTTGCCCCAGAGGGGTGGCAGCTGTGGGGAGGAGGGGACAGGGCAGGTGACCCAAACTGACCAACGGGGTGTTCCCTCCCATCCATGCTCAGTATAAAAGCTGAGGGAGCAAAGAATTAGGACTCCTTCAGTGGCTGATGCCTGAGGGGGGCTCTTGTCAGTTTGTCTCCCTCATTGCTGAGTCCAGCCTGGGACTTCTACAGTGCCCACTGGTGACATCTTCTTGGGAATTTGGTATGGTTTTGTATGTATCGTATCTACTTTGTTGTTTCCTTTTTATTTTATATAATTATATATTAATTATATATAAAATATATGTATATATTATATTAATATAATTATATTAATATTTTAATTAAAGTAGTTTAGTTTCTTCTAAACTCATAAATCTCTTTATCTCTCTCCTTTCTCTCCTTGGAGCAAGAGGTGGGAGAGAGCATCTGTTGTGTTGTCATTGGCCAGTCTGGCCCAAACGTGACACAGTGAAACAGGGGTAAGGCCATTCATCAGTTGTCAAAGGGGCATTTAGTTTGAATTTGTCTAGCTTGCTGATATTCATAGGTTGCTTTGGGTTAGATGAGACCTTACAGACCACCCAGTCTCACCCCCTGCCCTGGGCAGGGGCATCTCCCTCTAGACATCTCCCTCAAAGCCCCATCCAGCCTGGCCTTGAACACCTTGAAATATTATTAAATATTCAAGCATTAGAAAAAAAAATCTTTAAAATTGTATAGGTATGTTGAGCCCTGCTCATGCCTGACACGCTAAGGAAATTCTGTTATAACCCTTCTCCTTTCGCATGACTGTAACTCTGCACCATCCACCCTGTTCAACTGTTCACTGGTTATTAATTCTGACAATGAAGCTGATAAATGACTAAGCAATGCAAGTCTCAGTTGCTTTTTTTCTTAACTTTTCCCATTTAACCCAAGTAAACTCCTAAGTTCATTTGTTTGAACAAGGTTGAAAATATCTGAAACCTAAATATGTAGTCTTCAACAGAGTCTACTGACTTAACAAATTGCACAAAAAAGCAAGTCACCCTGGAAATACTTTCTAGGTGTCTCCATGTGTTTTTTGCAGATCTAGCTGCCATGCACTTTTCTTTGCCTCTGTGATTCCCTTCCCTAATCTAAGTGGTTTTAAAATAAGGCACTAGGTGCGGTGGCAGTTCAGGAGTGAGATCCTGAAGGCTGTTTGGTCCCATGGCACAGGAGGTGCTGTGCAGGCAGGACTGTGCTGTGGTGTTAGAGTCACAGATGGGCTGGAGATCACAGGGCTATTGGCACAAACTGTCCCTGTTGCACTGTAGCTGCTGTCCTGCCATGGGGACAAACGCACTAAGGTGAAGATTTCTCTCCAAATAGCCTGAGACTGCCCTAGTGCTGCACAGGGTACAAGCTGCGGAGTTTGCAAAGCCTGTGTGTTGAGATATGAAGGGCTGAGAAGGCTCATTTCAGCTTCCCAGCTGTGTTGGTCCTACAAATGCTAAAATCCTCTGCTTCATGCCACCATCTAGTGGCAGTGTGTCTGTAGAGTGACGGTGGAGAGAGTATGAAATACTTCTGTTTCCTTGCCAACAGAATACAGACAAATCGCTTCCTGCACCTTCCAGGCAGCACGTAAACAAGATCACAAGGAGGACGAGCTGCTCCAAGGCTTCTATTCCCACAGTCTGCAACACATTATTTATATAATATAGTATAGTATGTATTACTGCCCCATACGTGCTGATCCTATCCTGCAGTCTGATGGGGAAAGAGGAATCCCTCTGTCTCTCTTTCCTCTTCATTTTCTTCTGAGTGACTCCTCAGGCAGAAGGACTAACCCTCTGTGTGCCACACTGCCTCTGGAAAAGCTAACTGGGCAGCAGCTGGAGAGAGCTGCAGCTGGCTTAACCCTCAACCCTGACCTGTGCGCTCAAACAAGGCAAGACTGCAGCCTGCCTCACAAGATCAACCTCACTGTAACTATTGTGACAACACAATCAGAAGAAAAATGGGTATACTAAAACTGATTATTCAATTTTAGCACCTCTGCGTTGTTCTTACGACAGTCTGCAAAGTCTATCAATTATAACATCTTCCTCTTGTTTAACTTTCATTTTTATTCCTCTGAGCAAACACAGGAATTGCATTTTAGCTCTGTACCACTACAATGTTATGCCAGGCCTTCTACAAATGATAACCCGCCGAACAAGACCAGGGCAATTCACAGCTCCCTCTCCATTTTCCAGCTTCTTGAGGCGCTTCCAAGGAGCGTGCCCTGATCTCTGCTGCTTCAGAAAGCTCCTGTTCCAATGGCAGTTACTGGAGAACTTGAATCACTTTCTACCCACCATGAAAAGGGTAAATTTCTTGTTTACAGCTGGGTCTGGTATGAAGCCATTGTATGGCAAAGAATTCCCATTAAATTACTGCATATCCTGTGCTCCCTAGTGGCTCGTGTATATCTGGTCAGGAAAATTGACACTGATGAGTAATTTGTTTGACGAGCTCCCAGGAGTTCAGTATCACAGGACACGTAAAACCTGCAAGATACTAACAAATATTTTGCTTTCCTTTGCTTCCCACCTTTAAGCTGTTTTCTGAGGGTGAAGGTCCAAAGCCATGATGAACAGCAACAAAATACAGTGAGTTTTTATGCTTAACGTTTCAAGAAACAAGTGTTGCTGTTATGATAGGACAGAAGTAGTGAAATCTGTGTAAGGGCTCCCATACAGCTCAGCACAGTGCAATTTTATTCTTTAGAATTGATTCACTTATTCCACTACTCAATAATATTCTTTTTTTAACAAGGACCCTTGGGTGGATAAAACGCATGATGACAAAGGTACATCTTTCCAGTCATTCTATCAAAAAAACTTGATTCCATCACCAAAAATTAGCCAGTAAGGTATATCTTCTCCTTAATGATATTAGCCTTTACCTTCCAGCACTACCATATGGCGCTAGGACACGTCTCTGTCTCCTGTAGTCTGTGAAACAGCTGGCACCCAGATCCCAGCCAGGACTTGGACTGCTCAGGGTTCCTGGAGTAAAGAGGTAAGTGTTACAGATGTGAGGGCAGACTTCCTACAGATTGTGTCAGATGCATAATACACGCCCTAGTGAACAATTATCTCAAGATAAGAATCACTGAACATATGGCTGCCTTCACTAATTGGTCTTCTCTGTGTTTTAAATACTTAATAATGTTGCAAAGAACATTATTGTTAACTTTATGCTGAACTAAAAATTCAAGACAGGAAAAAAATATTTAAAGCAAGGATTACTAAAAAAAGTCATATATCTGCATTAGAATATTTGTCCCCATCATGCTCCTGCAGCCTTTAAAAATAGCTTTATTGCCTCAATTGAAAAATGTATTGCCTATCTGTAACTGAGCTTTGGAGAACAGCAATAGTATTTCACATTCAATTACTAGATTAAAACCAGTATCGGTTTAGATCAGTAACCACAAATTACTAATTCTGATACTTGAAAATGCACAATGCTGGAAATAAGGTGAATAAGGGAAAATACTGCAGAGTCATGAGCAACAGATTTAACAGCACAGAGGTATGAATTAAAACATGATACATGAGGAAGATATTCCATATGTCTGTGTGCTGAGTGCTTGTTTCAGATGTGGACTGTGCCTGATGTATAATTATGCTAATAGCTACTAGCTAGATTGGATCAAGTGATCAGGCAGTCTGCTTGGAAACGTGTTGATTCTTGACTCTGCTGAGAGACTTCTCAAGCTTTGCAGTCAGGTAGTAACTTGCCTGGAGAATGCAGACTCCAAGGAGGAATTCTCACCGAAGGTGAACGTGTTCCAGAGCAATAGCAGCACTGCTCAGGAAAATTTCCTATGATTGTCTCTTTATCACAGTTAAAATCCTGTGCCTGCCCCCACATCTGCCCCTGCTTTCCCACATCTGCCTCCATTATGAAAAAACCCACATTCTAAAAACACATAGAACATTACAGTATAAATTCCATTCCTAATTCAGTCATTCACAGCGTGCTACCATTGAAAGAAATCTGTCCCTACCATCAGATGGACATCTCTGAAGTCTGATATTTATGTGATTGGGACTTCAATGGAAACAGGACTGAGAATGGCAGGAAAAGGAAGAGATCTCAACTGCACCATGTGGTTTTTATGTTTGCACTTGCATTTCCGTGCCGTGGGACCAATTTAGCGTGGGCCAAGGGCTCGGTTTGTCATTATGGCTTTAGCATTAAAAGCATAAACTCTTATTAGGTGACCTAAAGTCTGGATTTTACAGGCAGTGAAGGAGTTGTCTTTTAGACAACTGTATGAAAATCTAAGCTTAAACATTCAAACCAACAGATACAAATCTAAACCTGCTCAGAATTGCCTTCTTTCAATCAGTTTTATAAAGGTTGTGGAAGATGTTGCAGAAAGCGTGGGTGAGAACTGCTGTGGCTTTTATGCCTCTGTAGGAATATTGGTTTGTTTTTAATGAAAGCCAAGTAGGATTAGGTTTTGATACTGAAGTATACTTGTAGACAAGGGGCAGAGATGGCTACCTTGCAAACACAGCTGGTATTTTAAGCAGAAGCATGAAGCCAATAGACATAACTATTAGTTTTCATGGTATCAGTATTTATTTCTCTGCTGGTAAGAAATATTTCTCTGTAACAATAATATGACAAACCCTTACCACCAAACAAATACTTCAGAAAAAGTTTCCTTTGTTCTCTCTCCTTCAGATCGTTGTATCTGAAAGAATTTCTTTCCCCAATCCAAATTGTTGTCATCCATTTCAAGCTAAAATACTTATTGGCAGAGGCATGCAGTACTATTGACTTTAATATTTGCAAAGTAAGTTGCTTTTCTAGGGAGGAAATTGCTGCATTTCAAAGCTATTTCCTGCCTCATACATACTAAACCAAACTAAAAAATCAAATCTGGTTTAGACTGGATGCCCTGGTTCAGGCTTTTTCTGCTCTAGAAACCCCAGCCAACAGTAGTCATCCCCAAGGAAGCCGTTGTGCTGTAAACCCCCGCTGGTTTCTTACACCATGGTCTCTTCTACTTTTTCTACTTCATTTCTGATTCCACTTAATTGCATCCTGTTTTTACATTCTCTCTCCTTTTTTTTTTTTTGGTTGTTGAGATCCAAGAATAAGAAAAGCCCAAATAAAGCATGAGACTAATGTTTTTTTCTTTTTTCATGTTTTGCTTTCAGAATCTCTAAAAAAGCTAATTTTTGTGAGGAAATGCTTTGGCACAGCAAAGCAGAACATGTTTACAGCATTCTAGAAAAATCTCTTCAGTGTTATGTACTATGATTTCAGCAACTGCTCACAGACAAAATTCACAGAGTCTCATCACAATATATGCAGATTTTGCTCTCTGACTCAGCCAGGGGTTGCTCTTGCATGAGTCAGGGAACTGAGAGCAGTATTTTCATTGCTGTCTTTTTAAGCCACCAAGTATTGCAACACAAAATAAAATAAAATTTAAAAAATAAAATAAAATAGCAAGTGTTGGTAGTGCTGAGATACTGCTCATTGCTCCCCCTCCCAGCACACAAAGGCACACAGACACGTATGCACACAGGCCTTTTTGCCTTGTCTGCTTAGCGACAGGGTAAGGGTAGAGTGGGAACCACCTTCCACTCTTCCTGCCCATCACTACATAAAATGCCTGGGGACCCAAGAGTACCATTGACTTCATACAAAAGATCATAATCACTGGCAGATTCAGCAAAATGCCAATTTTTTACTATGATTTCTTCTACTGTATGCCATAACTGAAAAAGAATCAAGCAATACTGTAAACTGAACATGTTAGAAATACTTGTCCTTACAGCCAGCCTCCCAGAAGACACGTGAGATAACAACATGTGGTTCTTCAAATCATAGAATGGTTTGGGTTGGAAGGGACCTTAAAGATCATCCAGTTTCAAACCCCCTGCCCTGGGCAGGGACACCTCCCACCACACCAGGTTGCTCCAAGCCCCATCCAGCCTGGACTTGGACGCCTCCAGGGATGGGGCAGCCACAACCTCCCTGGGCAACCTGTTCCACTGTCTCACCACCCTCCCAGTGAAGAATTTCTTTCTAGTATCTAATCTAAATCTTCCCTCTTCCGATTTAAAACTCTTACCCCTTGTCCTGTCACTGCCCTTCCTGACAAAGAGTCCCTCTCAGCTCTCCTGTAGCCCCTTCAGATATTGAAAGGCTGTTACAAGGTCTCCCCAGAGCCTTCTCTTCTCCAGGCTGAACAACCCCAGCTCTCAGTCTGTCTTCGTAGGGAGGTGCTCCATCCCTCTGATCATCTTTGTGGCCCTCTGCTGGACCCGTTCCAACAGGTCCATGTCCTTCCTGTGTTGAGGACTCCAAAGCTGGACACAATATTCCAGGTGGGGTCTCGCAAGTGCAGAGTAGAGGGGCAGAATCACCTCCCGTAACCTTCTGGCCACACTTCTCTTGATGCAGCCCAGGATGGGGTTGGCTTTCTGGGCTGCAAGCACACATTGCCGGCTCATGTTGAGCTTCTCATCCACCAACACCCCCAAGTCCTTCTCCTCAGGGCTGCTTTCTAGCCATTCTCCACAGTGATTCTTCAGCAGTGCTTCCTATCTGTCTGCCAACAGCATTTGCTGACAAAGGAATGCATTTTACTTTGTCTCCACGTTGTTTTCCATGCACTATTTCAGCCATCTTTACCACAGCAAAAAGAAAAAGCGTTTCCCCCATCGCATGTGCCTTTTTGCCTTTCACTATTAACTGTGCTGGTTTTGGCTGGGATGGAGTTAACTTTTTTGGATTTGTGCTGAAAACAGTGCTGATAACACAGAGATGTTTTTTTTATTGCTGGGCAGCACTTACACAGAGTCAGGGCCTTTCCTGCTCCTCACCCCTGCCAGCAACAGGCTGGGGGCACAGGAAGATGGGAAGGGACACGGCCGGGACATCCCCATGACCAAGGGATGTCCCAGACCATATGGTGTGGTGCCCACCAACAAAACCTGGGGTAAGGAGGAGGAAGGAGAGGGCGTTTGGAGGAATGGTGTTTGTCTTCCCAAGTCACCATTAAGTGTGATGGAGCCCAGCTTTCCTGGAAATGGCTGAGCACCTGCCTGCCATGGGGAGCAGGGAATTAATTCCTTCTTTTGCTGTGCTGGTTTGTGTGGCTTTTGCTTCACCTATTAAACTGTCTTTATTGCAACCCACAAGTTTTCTCACTTTTACTCTTCTCAGTCTTTCCCCCATCCCACTGGGGGGGAGTGAGTGAGACTTTTCCTTGACCTGCCTGTGTGTTAGAGGACGTTTCTGTGATCACACAGCCTGTGACTGGCTCTGGCTCTGAGGGGACATGAATTCCAAAGGAGATGTCCTGTAGCACTGAAGTTCTCTGCTGTCTGCCCAGGTGTGAGCTCCAACACAGCCTTTTCCTCAGGTGAGGTACATCTCTACCCAGAGCCTGATTTCCACTAAATTCGGAGCAGAGGATTTCATCTACAGTCTCTAGCGCTCTGTCAAATGTGGCCAAGAGCTTCCAGGGGCTTCAAAAGTCCTGTCACAGGAAGGAATACATCAAACCACAGGAGCTGGATGTGTGACCCTGGATTCTGCAGGAAACCCAGCTAAAAGAAAATTAACAAAACAACACAGGAACAAAAGCAATGATAAAATTTCAAAAACAACAGTAAAAAAAGCTTGAGACACGCACAAGTGAGAAAAATCCTAAGCGAAATACCACAAAGGAAACCGTGAGCCTGTAGCAAGAATTTTAAAAGCCTATGATGGACAACCCTGACACAACAAAGAAAAAGGAGTTAACACGGGGAGACCTGGAGGCGGTGGGACCGAGGGGAGGGCGGTTTCCAGCGTGGTGAGGCGGGCAGCAGGACACCGCACGCTGACCCCCCGCCCAGCTCTCCTCACGCCTTTCCTCGCCCCTTCCTCCGGGCCCGCACGGGGCCCTCTCCCTGGGCCGTCCCAGACCTCCTCAGCGGGAGCCGCGGAACCGGCTGGGACACGGCACCCGGAGCCGCTCCCGCCCGCTCACCGCAGCGCTCGCCCGGCCCGGCCGCCACGGCGGTCCTTCGGCCGGGAGCCCGGTACGGGCGGGGAGCGCCCCTCATCGCCGCTCCCTTACGGCTCCTCAACGCTCCCGCCCGCCCTTCATCGCCCCCCACCGCCGCCGCTCATACTCCTCACCCCCTTTC